GGTTTGGATATAGAGATCGAGTGCTCAGTCTAAGAGATATTTGAGTTGCGTGTGCTAATGTTTCAGTCATTGGCAAGTAAATGGTCATTGAAATCATAGGTTTAGTTGCGGTGACCCAGGACTGTGACAGCGAGGCAAGTAGAGGGGTTGGGATAGAGGCCCAGGGAGCTGTGGCATCAAGTTGGGAGGCAAATAGTGAGATGGTGATGCCAGAGAGAGAGATTCAAAGAGGAAGGAGTAATAAACATGAACAAAGAAAACAGTGCTAACTCGATGAATCTAAGAAAGAGTCCAGTAGAACTGGCAATGCCAGGTCACTGGGGACCTTGAACTAGAGCTGTCTTGACACAGTGTGTGGTAGAAGGCTGCTGGCAGAGGAAAAAGGAGAAACCAAGTTTAAAGAAGCTCTTTAGAAGGTCTCTGGGTAGTCTATATATGTTTCATGTAGCTGACATCTTACATGCCTTGGGCTACACTACACCTAAAGGTAAAAGAACAAGTTGTATCTGAACATTAGACCATTACTTTCACTGTTCTTTTTCTTCCCATTTCTTAACAGGGTTTGGCCTTGGTGGATAGGCAGTCAAGACCGGAAATCATATTTTTGCTAAAAGTAGACGATTTACCTGAAGATACCCAGGAACGTTTTAATAGTCTGTTCTCTCTACGGGAAAAATGGACAGAAGAAGATATTGCTCCGTATATTCAGTAAGTAATGTATTAAATACGAATTTTGAGGGTTGTCCACTTTATACAGAGTGGCAGAGGGTTGGGAATTATTATCAGGACACAATTTTTTGAGTATTTCCCAAGGTCACCGCTTCCTTTGAAACTTTCTCAAGCGGAGGCTGCCTTCTGTGTTATCCTCCACAAGCACTGGCCCTGAAGGCGGGGCATGTGTCGTCTTTCTTTCTTACTGCCGTATTTTGCCATGTATAATGCGCACTTTTTTGTCCAAGTTTTTGAGGGAAAAATAAGGATGTGTGTTATACATGGGTATAATACCATGGGTATAATTACATACCATGGGTATAATGGCATAATAATCTCGTGTATAATGCGCACGAAAATGTGAGCATGCATTTTACACAGGATCACATTATGCACGGCAAAATACGGTGCTTCTTCCGAAACCCCTCCTGCCCTCCTCCCTGCAAAACTGCAGCTCTGACAGGGACAGTCAGACTATACACCCCACCATGACTCTAAGGCAAGCACCGCTTTCTGACGGCCACCTCTTACCTTGCCTGCTGCCTTGCTGTAACATCTTACAGAAGCCAGATTGCAGAAGAACAAGTCAGCCCAGAAGCCACTGCTTCCAGGACCTCAAGTTCCAGGAACACCGCCGCCTCTTCGCTGTGTTTCTCCTTCCAGGTCCTCTCTCTTTCAACCCAGATCGGATTCCCTAGTTAATCTTTTCAACGATTACTGTAGACGCTCTGCTCCTTTGGCACCCTCTCTCTGTCTTCTAGTACCTCCCAGGCAAAATTCAACAAAGATTAAACCCAGCTTTCTGCTTGCTCTGTGCCTACCCCTGGGCAGCTAAAATTTCCTGGGGAAAAATACACGATGGGGCTCGCCAGGCTCTCTAGGCACTTTGCACGGGCCCTGGCAAGGCACCGTTTCCTCATGGAACTTCTCTGTCCTTGGGGCTCACTGAACATCTTTTCTCTTTTGTTATCATCAGTACCCTCTGTTTCCTCTTCGCCCTCAGCTTTTGTATGACCTTGCTTTCTGAGGAAACAGAAGCAGACAAGGGAGGACAAGAACTATTTTCTTTCCCACTCCAAATCAGCCGGCCTGCTCGCATCTGCAGCCACTTCCTTTGCAGTCCCTTACGTGTAATGCATGAACCGTCCCTAAGGTCAGCCCTCCTGCATTGGATCCTTCTGGGCTTGTAAAGGCTTAGAATCCTCTAGTCATTCCTTCCCCCTTTGTGTTATCAGTGTCTCCCTATCTACTAGATTATTCCCATCAACATGGGATATTCTGTAGATGTTTACTTGGCCTCAGCACTATTTGATACACACTGGGCCATTTCCTTCTTGAAATATGCCAGTTTCCTCCTTCAACCCAAGGCAGGTACTTATCTCTCTCTTGCTGACGTCTCCCTGTTCTTCTAAATCTTTAAATGACACAGTGCTCCAGGACACTGCTCTTGGCCATCTTCTCTTTTCTGTTTCGATTTTACTCTTGATTCCCTTATCAAGGCCTGGATTTACATTTAGTTTTTTAAAAAATATTTTTTAAAATTTACTTTTAGACAGAGTGGAAAGGGAAGAGAGAGAGAGGGAGAAAAACATCAATATGAGAAATGTGAATCAGTTGCCTCTCGCACACCCCCAACTGGGGACCTGGCCCACATCCCAGGCATCTGCCTTGACTGGGAATTGAACTGGCAACCTTTCAGTCCGTGGGTCGGCGCTCAATCCACTGAGCCTCACCAGCCAGGGCTAGTGTTGTGTTAATTTTATCTTCATACTTGACCTTTTCCTTGGGCTCCAGATTCTTATATCAAGCCGCCTAACTAACATTCCCACTTGAATATCTAACAGGAATTTCAGACCTGACATGCTCATAGCAGAACTGCTGATACCCCCTTGTCCAAAACCCATCTTCCCCATCTCAGTTAACAGCAGTACCGTTAATCCAGTTACTCAAGCAAAAAGGCTAGGACTCACCTTTGTGTTTTTCTTCTCTCACCCCTTGGTTCAAACGCGGAATGAATCCTGGTGGAACATCTTGTACCTGACGCTGAATTGGTGTCCCTACTTCTATTTTGCCCCCTTACCCTCTCTTTCTTTTAAAACTTTTTCTTTTGGAAAACTTTAAATACTCAGAAGTGACAATATGATATAATGAACCCTCATAAACTCACCACCTGGCTTCCATAATCATCACCACTTCCATGATTTAAAACTAGATGGATGATGCTTTTCCATTAATTACAGATCTCCTAGTGGCTTCCCATTATGCTTAGAATTACATTGCAACTCCTTTCCATGTTCTTTGAGGCCCTACATGATCTAACCCTGCTCTGCTCTCATGTTCTCCCATTCTTCCCTCACTGTGTCCCAGTCACAGTCGTCTCCCTTTGTGGGCACAGAAGAGGAAGCTAAAGTTCAAGGAGGGTAGGTAACCATGACCAGCACAAACGGGTAGCCTAGTATCCAGGTTCTCCAAGTGTAGGTCCTGCTGTATCACTTTGCATGTACTTCTTCTGATTCGAACGTTGTGTGATAAAACGGAAGAAAACAAAGAAACAACATGGACTTTGAAGTCATAGAACTGACTGCAAAATGTGGCTCTGTCCTTCACTGCATGAGCCTGTTTCCTCACGTCTAATATGGAGTAAAATAATATGTTACTCATACTTTTCTTGTGAAGTTTGAAGATAATGCATTTAATGTACCTAGTCAATTAAGGCTTAGTAACTGCTCCCTACCCTGTCTCTCCTACACACACATACCCTTAGGCTTATTGGGAAGTTGAGATTTAGGGGAGAGAGATATAAACCAATAGTACTGTGAATATTATGTTCCCTAAAATATTCATGCTATTCATTTATTTTTTTTCTTGTTCCCACAGAGATTTATGTGGAGAGAAGCAAACCATAGGTGCATTACTCACTAAATATTCTAGATCTTCGATGCAAAATGGTGTTAAAGTTTATAACTCAAGAAGACCCATTTCTTAAAAGAATGACAATCTTTTCTTTGGGACTAAAGTTGCTGGTTTTAAAAAAGATTCTTTTATATATTTGTATTCCAGACATTTAAAAACCTCGTGCTTTGAGCTATTTTTCTGCTCATCTTAAGCATTTTGAAACTACTGCTGTTCTTTTTCCTTAAATGTAATAGGATATTTCTGTCTTTCAAGTTATGTTTTATTAGGTATACAATGTAAACAAGGATAAAAACAAAGTTATTTCTCATGTTTAGTGTATCTCTATTTGCTTTTATTTATTGAAAATTTTTGCTTTTTTAAATATTTAATATTGCATTTTAATTAGGACTTGACATTCTGATCATTAATAAATTTAAGTTTTCAGAGAATTAAACAGCCAAGATGATTTTTTATGCACTTAACTGCCATTTCTCAAGCAAGTGGGTTCTCCTCCACTTTCATCCTTCCATCAAAACAGGAAGTCACTACATGCTATCAGTTACCTACAGTAGTCATTTTCATTGATGAAATTATCTTGGTAATTGTTCCTCTATTTGCTGGGCTAGGGTGGGATTAAATGGATTTGATCCATTGTATAATCCCATAATCCTATAATCCTATAACGGAGACACTGAGGCAGGTAATACTCACTAGAAAACTACAGTATCTAGTTCAAATTAATTTTAACTTAGCTAAAGAAAATGTCATGGGGAGGTGGCAGGCCAAAGTGATCTGGTTCAAGGTTAAAAATAACGTTAGTGGGCAATCCACAATCAACCAAGACTTAACTGCTATTGAAATTTATAACGTTTTTATTCTCAAACACATGAAACGCAGATACTATAGCTTCAAAATTACGTTTCCTGTCTTTCAATAAATTTTTCTCTATATGGATCATTTATTTTTAAAAATAAATACTGAGTTGCAGTGGCTAGTGAACTCTGCAGTTTGAGTCAGATACCTGGGATCTAATTACATATTTTACGACTTAAATCTCTAGAGGCCCAGTGCGCTGATGTTTCTGTTCACACAACACCCTCTGGTCAGAACTCCCAGTTACTAGCCTCCACTCCCTGGCTCGTCGCAAACCCTGCCCCAACGCGCTAGACTTTTATATCTCTAAATGTAAACATTTCCTTCTTTCCTTCCTGCTCTTCTCAACTTACCCAATAAATAGCTGAATTCGCTTTCCTAACCCTAAGCAGTCCTTACCCAGTACACCCAAGGGCAAATGTAAAACCCCTACTGTATCGCGCAAGCCCCGCCCACTTACAAACTTCCGGCCCTTGTCACCGCCCCACTTCCGCTGACGTAAAGGTCAGGTGACAGGGGATTTGTCCGCTGATTGTGGATATAAGTAGTGGCTGAAAGAGGCATCTCCGTGATCGGAGCTTGGGGGGCTCCGGCGACGTGATCGCGGGGAGCGAGTTGGAAGCGGCGGGTCTGGCAGGGTCGGACGTGGGCGCCGAGGGAGCCCCGGCCGCGTAGCCTGACTGTAGGGAGCAGGGGAGTGCGAGGTGCCGCAGCCTGGTAATGCCCCGCAGCCCTGGGGCAAGCTGCAGAGCCGCTTCATGCCGCCGACAGGGTTAGAGCCCGCCAGAATGAACAGGAAGAAAGGAGACAAGGGCTTTGAAAGTCCAAGGCCATATAAATTATAAGTATTTCGTATATCTTCCTTTTCTCTTCTAGGTTTTGTTCTCGTTAGTTTATTTTGTGATTGCTTGAAACTGACTTGGTGGGCCTGGGAAACCTAGTGGGTAATGAGAACCCACTCACTGTGATGGAAATGGTATTTTTAGGAGAAAATGCTTTGCATGAGTGTAATATAGCAGATTTAATGCCCCTTGTAGGTTGATAAAACTTTTTCTTAAAGTGTTAAACTATTTATCCAAAGACACTTACTTTCGTGGCTGTTGCCAAATTTAAAATGAGCAAGTTACCCACATTTGTAGGTGAAAGATAAAGTGTGATTTTTGAGTTGCTTAGAACATAGTCTTTGCTTGTACTTGGGTAGAATTATGCTTCATTTAATAATAGAAGTACTTTCTTTACTTATTTTATTTTTGTATTTTTTTTATATACAACCCATCAGGTCGTCTGCATCAACAACATAAACTTCCAGAGAAAATCGGTTGTGGTAAGTATATTGTCAACAATCATAAGCGGTAACAAATCCACCCTTTACAATACTTAGAAACTGTCCCTTCCAGGTAGTTGTTTCAAGAATAGCTGAGAATTAGCATTCAGATCTGTGTGACTCCACGGTCCATGACCTTGCAGTATACTGGCTGCCTGCTCAGTTCTTTTTATTTTTCCCCTATCGCCTGATTAACATTTTATTCCTTTTGATCTATTGTGGAATAGGAAAGCCTGAGTTATCAGATATTTTAGATTTTTTTTTAAAAGAAGAATAAGCCCACATGAGATTTCTCCTGTGAAAAGATTAAGGTTAGAATATGCACTGGCTTAGCTTGGCTGCTAAGAGGCCAGCTTTGTTTTCTGATTCTTGGCTGACCTGGTTTATGTGGCATTGCTGATTAATGGCATTTTAGAGGTGTTCGAAATCTAGTAACATCGCCCTCTCCCATTCAGATGAATAGATTGCAGGTATGTTTTCATCCCAGGAAAGTCCTTGACGACCCAAGTACTTAATTTACTCTCTCACGGGGACCTATATTAAATAGACGAAAATCTGAGTGAAACCTTGTTTTCCTCGAGTTATAGCATGAACTTTCCCACTTATTTACTTAGGATGAGTGGTATAGATTTTAAAGATGTCATCTTTCCATAAGACTCATAGATTCTTAGATTTTAAGGATCCTTAGAGATTCATTAAATCCAGTTCCCTTATTTAAGGAATTTCTTTCAATATTCCTTGCATATGGTTCTTTGAATGCAGGCAGTCTATCTCCAGAACATGCGCCTTTAACAATGACATTATACTGCCCTTGCTCCTTTACTACATGCTGCATAAAATCTGGAAGTGGTCTAGGAGTAGCAGTGGAAACTAGAAGGTTTCCTGTTTTCCCCTTTACTCATTTATAGTGAGTGAAAGAAAGTAGCTTCTTGTCGAGGGGGATTTAAGAGATGCTTTATCTAAGGCTAGAAGGTAGAAAAGGAGTTTTTGAAAAGGTTGAATGGCAGGAGGAGAGGTCACTTAAAGTAGGATAGGGGCTCTGGGAGGATGGTCAGCTGGGAAGTGGGGAGAGAGCAAGGAGCAAGAGTGAGATGTTAGATGAGAGTAAGTGAGATGTTAGAGGACCTGGGGTGTGGGGTTGTGGGGGTTGCAGTTACACCATTTGCTAAGGATAACAGATTGGAGGCCAGTCCGTGGGTCTGAACCCAGGTAGGCCAGTATAGGTTAGGGCTCTAGGTGGTGTCAGAGACCTGATGATACGAGATAGGGCTTTCCGCACCTTCTTCGTGAAATACACTCCATTTGCAGTTTTATTACTGTTAACCTTCATCTAGAAAGCCTATCCTCTTCTTATGGCCCACCCATGCAGCTAACTGTTGACAGCACTTTCCATAATCTTTTCTGGTTTACTTTTGACATTATCTTGGCTCTGTTTGCTGTCTTTCAGCTGATCCAAGCTCATTTGTGTTAGATGGTCATTGTATTGCTGATACGCTAATTAAGGGAATTTGGGTCTTCCTCTCTAAAAGTGCTCACAGTTTATACCTTTAAACACAGAGACTTCATCAACCGCATTTTTGCATTTGGTCTCTTCTGTTCTCATTTGCTTCCACATAGATCTGTCCAGATGGTGTAATTTAAGGATGCATGGTTCTCCTGTTATTTAGGAATTGAGGGAAAAAGCAATGGAATTACTAGGCTTTTGAACAGTTGGGTTGAATGGTATCTAAAAATTTGTGCATTTTAAAAAAAAAGCTTTATACTGAGACATTATGGCATAGTGGGTCAAAATAATTTTCGGATTATCTAGAAGGGGATTTGAATCTCAGTTTTCTACTTATTAATGATATAATTTCTTAACTGTGTTAATTTAGCTATAAAAAGTATAATAGTACTTATCTTTTAAAATTGTCATATGAAAATAGTATAATATCTGGCATTTAATAGTGCTCATTCAACAGTAGCCATTATAATTGTTATAATCTAGTCTTCTATGTTTATTGCCTGCCTTTCATCTTAGATATTCCTGTTACAGCTTCTGAAATTTTTCTGTTCACTTTGTAGCCCTTGAAATGTTACTGTTTCATGCCCTCCCATAGTTGTGTTTGAGAACGTCAGTGTTCAGCTCAGGATTTTAACTTCCTGGACCGATGTGCCATGTTTCATTGATCTGTCTTTCCCATTTGATTCAACATAAGAGGGCGGTGGCCAGTCAGTGTATTTAGTTGCCTTTTGTGTCTTAAGGTACATTTTTCAGGTTGCTCACCACACAGCTAGCCTGGTAAAATTATGTGTGTATGTATACATGTGCCCTCTGTGTCTGCTTGGTTGGAAGTCATCCAGCATTTTGAAGTATCTGCTCCTCTAAGTGGCAGCAGTAGATTCTCCCTACTTGGCTGAATATTTATTGGAGCTCTTGTCTCTTCACATGTCCTGGTTTACCTTCCGTGAGCAGAGATTCGTACTGGTTAGCTTCATTGGTATAGTTTTCTTACCTGTTTGGGGGCAGGGGGCATGTTTTTTCATTCACTAGCCTGGTTTTGATTTTCTTTTCTGCCCTGTCATTTTTTTCCCTTCCTCCTTGTTTAGGTTCCAGTCTGGCTAGAAATTAATATATTTGAGAGTAGTGAGTCCTTTTCCTTTTCTCCTAGCAGGTGGTCTCATGTTCACTGATAGTGAATGTGAACCACCAGGATGATGAATCATACATAATTCACACCCACTTAGTCACTAGGACTATCATGTTTGAAATGCAGGTGACTTGGAGAGCACTTGTATATATGTAGTAGTTATGTGGGATTTTGTCTCTGGAGTGTGTTATGTGTAGCAATAGTAGTAGTAGTAGAAATCAAAGAAATATGTTCTAAAACATACCGATCCAAATTATAATGAAGTTACTATTCTTTTCTTTATAGGGATTTGTGGAACTGACTATATTTCCCACAGTTGCAAACTTGAATAGAATCAAATTAAACAGCAAACAGTGTAGAATATACCGAGTAAGGATCAATGATTTAGAAGCTGCTTTTATTTATAATGATCCAACTTTGGAAGTTTGTCACAGTGAATCAAAACAGTAAGTTATACACCATAAAACTTGATATTTCTAACAGTCATGTCTCTCATGATTTGATTACTTTTTTCAGTAGATTTTTCTATGATTATAATTAGTCTTGTTCCCAGGTTTGTTTTTGTTTTGTTTTTCTAATTTTCTTTTATTTTCTTAAAGAGTTTATTTATTTTTAGAGAGAGGGTAAAGGAAGGAGACAGGGAGAGGAACATCAATGTGTGGTTGCTTCTTATGTGCCCCCCTACTGGGGACCTGGCCTGCAACTCAGGCATGTGCCCTGACTGGGAATCGAACCGATGACCCTTTGGTTCACAGGCTGGCCCACAATCACACCAGCCAGGGCATTTTTTTCTAATTTTAATATGTTTTACTTTTACCACTCTGCACATTTGGTTCAAGAAATATTATTAGTTCTGCCCAACATAGTAAGTTACTGTTTTCCTTCTTCAGACTATGGTTTTAAAGTACTGTTGCAGAACTTTAAGTTGTCATAGCCATTTTTTTTACTTTTAATGTTTTAAAAATATTTCATAAATATTAAATGTAATTTTAATAAGTTAGGCGATCATCATAATCTGTAGACCAGAGAGAGATGACTATAAAATACTCTATAAAATATTTTTGCCACTTTATAATGCCATGTAAAATATTATGTCTGAAATAGCTCATTCCTTCACCTTAAATTAATTATATTGCATGTATTGAGGCTATTTCTGACTTTTATCAGTAAAAATTTATTAAGCGAGGGAAATGTCACTAACTGTACCTTGTGGATTCATCTAGTGGACAGATGATGATAGACATACAAGGGGGGACACCCCCTAAAAAAACCAGAGATATCTTCTGTAGGGCTTTGGCATTCCCAGATTGTTGAATAATGTGACAATCATCATATCACATAGCATTGGTGAGTGGACACGATAGATCATTGAGTTTGTAGTTCAGTAGTTTTAGTCACGGTGAGTAGAGCAACAAGGACTTGCCCAAAATGTTCTTACAAATTATGTGAGACGATGTAATGCTTTCAAACAAACGGTATCACATATGTAAGAAGATGCTTGGTGAACTCTATGGCTTACTGTTAATGTTTTTTTTTAACCCCCCAGGAGAAATCTCAATTATTTTTCCAATGCGTACGCTGCTGCTGTGAGTGCTGTGGATCCCGATGCGGGAAACGGAGAACTTTGCATTAAGGTTCCGTCAGAGTTATGGAAACACGTAGATGGTAAGACACCACGAATATGTTGACTGTGTAACTCAATTCCATTAGATTTAGTGACTAGAACTTTTACATGAAAATAATGTCACAATTGTACATTGAAATATACCCAAGTTGGAATCTTTTTTTTTTTCCACAAAGGATCGGATCACAGGCTGATGGGAAAACAGCAGTCAAGGGCTGTGACAAAAATCAGCTTATTTCACTGCTGTTTTTAAAGTGAAAGTTGTAAAAAAAAATTAGATGGATGGAATAGTTTGTCACGACTTGAGAACCCACACAATATCAAATCAGTTTAGAATTATAGCATTTTATAGCAGGAGGGATCCTAAACAATTATTTGGTTTAATGTCTTCCTTTTACAGAAAAGTCTCTGAATTCCAAAGGGAGTAGGTGAACTGCTGAAGGTCATTGATTAGCAGTTGAGTCAAGGCTAGAACATAGAGTTTCTGGCATTCACTCTGCATACTTTTGAGCATAGTCTCATTATTTCTAGATTCTTATTTTCTCAAATAAATTTATGACCATTATAATAATTATGCATAATATGTATCATGGTTAGTATATACTGTAGTTATTTTATTATTATAAAAGTGTTACATATAATACTTTTATTTGGCCTTATACTAATTAACCATGTTAAGGAAGTAAAAGACATTTTTTTAAGGTTTTATTTATGTATCTTTAGAAAGCGGGGAAGGGAGGGAGAAGGAAGAGGAGAGAAGCATCGATGTGTGGTTGGTTGCCTTGCACGTGCCCCCACTGGGGTCCTGGCCTGCATCCCAGGCCTGTGCACCGACCAGGAATCGAACCGGTGTCCTTTCGGGTCACAGGCCGGTGCTCAATCCACTGAGCCACACTGACCATGGCAGACATTTTGTTTTGATTTTGCATATTTTTGGTAGTTTTTACACATGAGGGTATCTTTTCCCAGTGGGGGAGAGGTTTATCCAATTCAGGGGACAGGCATGGAAGGTCATCATTTTATGTTCAGAGATTGAAGATAGTTCCTATGTGATAAGGTTTGGGGGAAAATTAAAAGAAACTTTAACCTAATTGTAAAAGCACATTTATTCTGTAGAAATCAGACAAGACCAAAAACATAATAAGTGATACGTAATGTGAATTCTTGAGTAGGCTTTTCCATCACTCCTTCATTCACCTACTCCCCAAAGTCTGCCGGGGTTAACTATCTGTGGGGTGATGTAGTCAGCGAACAAACTTTGTCGGTCAGTCTGGTTTTGCTTTTTTTCTATTTATTTTGGGCTTCTGTGTCCTTTTATTTTTTTAAAAATTAAAGTTACTGGGCTGACACTGGTCAATAAAATGATACGGATTTCAGGTGCACAGTTCTGCGATGCATCATCTGTATAGTGCATTGTGGGCTCACCACCTAACGTCAGAGCTTTTTCTGTCACCACATATTTGACCTGACGTAAGTCTGGAATTGTATCCAGAAGGACTTAAGTGTCCCCTGTGAGAGTTTTGAGTTTTTTCCTTTAGGCAGTGTAGCATTGTCAGATGCTACAGGAGTGTTGGCGTGAGGACGCAGCATAGCCAGAGCTGCGTCTTGGGAGAACATAGCAGTGACTGCAATTGAGTAAAGGCAGGCTGCCGAGTTAGCGGAGACGGAGAGATGGGGAAAGCCAAAACGGGGTGAAGTAGTGTGGTTTGTCATGTAAAACTGGGCCTTTGGTTCTTATTTCACGTCCAGTGTAAGTCTGCCCTTGTAACATAGACCAGCATTGCTTAATTATGTACTTATGTATCATTGTGTGTGTGTATTTATTTGTTGCAGAATTAAAGGTGCTAAAGATACACATCAATTTTTCGTTGGATCAGCCAAAAGGAGGCCTTCATTTTGTGGTACCCAGTGTGGAGGGGAGTATGGCAGAGAGAGGTGCTCATGTCTTCTCTTGTGGGTATCAGAATTCCACAAGGTAGGTTATTCATTCTTATGCATTTCAGTTCATTTTATTTTTCAATTGTATTTTTCTGTGTAAATATAGAACACATATTTAGCGTAAAATGAAAAGTGCCAGCTTGACCCCCCAAACTTGTTCCTCCTCTTCTGAGTCTTGCTCCATTTGTCCTTCCTCCTCAATTGTATGTCCTTCCTTTTCTCTCTCATATGCAAGTCCACTGTCCTAAAATCATCTCAGTTCTTTTATTTTTTTAACTTTATATTGAAGTAAAGCATAGAAAATTACACAAGTTGTATGTAGAAAGCTCAGTAAATTCGCACAAGTGCACAAAGCCATGCAATCAACACTCACTTCAAGAAAAAGAATGTTACCAGCATCTCCGAGTTCCCCCCCCCACCCACTTTCATTCATTGTGTCCCTACCTGATACTCTCCTGCTGTAGGATAATCACTATTCTCATTTCTAAAATAGCACAGATTACGTACACCTGTTCTTGAATTTTACATACCATATTTTGCTGTGCACCATGCACACTTGCCCAAATTTTTGAGGGAAAAATAAGGGTGTGCATTATACATGAACACCACTAAAAGAATGGGTGTGCATTTTATGTGGCAAAATACGGTGCATGCAAGCATATGCATCATGCCCTTTATTTCTGGCATTTTTGTTGAACACGGTGATAGTGAGATTTAGCTTCACTATGTGTAGTTGTTTATTCTCATAGTTCTATAGTTCATTACATGTTATTGAAATACTGCTTTATAATAAGCATTTTCTCCTCAGATTATTAACTTCTCCAAGCCAGGGATGATATCATACACTTGTTTGTTGTCTCAGTACCGAGTACAAACTCTGGTACATAGTAAAACCTGACCTGAATTAGTGGAAAGTCAACTAGGCATTCATGTATGGCTTTACCAGCACTGTTTGAATCTGCACAATGCATTATATACTCCAAAACAGTTTTCTAATGTACGAAATAGATTCTGAACAGTAATTGTGTAGAAACGAACGCTGAATCAAAACTAAGGGAATGTGCAAGTGAAACTTACTCTGTTTCTAATTTAAAGATTGCAAACTAAGAATTGCTTACTTCTTTTGAGGCTTTGAACCGAAGGTACCACACGATATATTTACTTAATATTGCCAAACAATATTTGGAGACATGTTTCTATCTTTAATCACTTTCTTCCAGGTTGCACAGTGAACAGCTTCAGTAGTTTAATAGCTAAAACCTTTTTGTAGATGCTCCGTGAACGTTAAAATAGTTTATACACTGGGAAAGTGACGTAGGTTACACTTCCAACCTATTTCTTATGCTGTTGGTCTTCCTTCTAGGTTTTGGTTCCCATGTGTTGACTCGTACTCTGAATTGTGTACGTGGAAATTAGAGTTTACAGTAGATGCTGCAATGGTGGCTGTTTCCAACGGAGATTTGGTGGAGACAGTGTACACCCATGATATGAGGAAGAAGACCTTCCATTACATGCTGACCATTCCCACAGCTGCGTCAAATATCTCCTTGGCCATCGGACCTTTTGAGATACTTGTAGATCCGTACATGCATGAGGTATGGCTTCTTACTCCTCCTTCTCTTTATACCCTTTCACTCCTGAGAAAAAGAAGGGCATTAGTGAAATACCGAGGTTTTCTTAGCTCTTCTTTTAACTGTCAGAAATATCACTAGAAAGAAAATGTTCCCTTGTCTGATACATTTTTAATGATTGAATTACTGAATGAATTCCTTTCAAAATATTGTCATACTATAGATAAACTTCAGATTTTTTTCCAGCAGAGGACTTTGCATTCAAAAGAGCTTCAAGTAGACTTTGATTAGAGAATATAGCTTGATTTCTGCAACTAATTATGTTCAGTGTCACTGTCATCTTTTTGTCTGGCGTGTATTTGTGAATGCTACAGTCCCATGTCTGGGTCTGAAAGATTGCGGTAGAATGAAAGAGCAAGTGAGTTCTCACTGCCGTATGTAGAGGGAAAGAGAAGAGGCTGAGGCACGGTTAGAATTTTGTTCAACACACTCATGAAGGCTTCTTCCAGTTTCCTCCCGCCCCATGTCCTTCAATAAATAATTGATCCATTTATAGGTCAGATAGTGTTTTTATATTTCCCCAAGCGTGAGACTGCTGATGGTTAGAAAGCGATTCGTTGGTTGTTGACCCTCTTGGCTACTGTACACATTTAAAGTAACATTTGAATGAGTTTATTATTTATTATTATTCCTTTATGGTTTCAGTTTTAGTTATTATTTTTAACGTAAGGTTTATACTTGACCATGTATATCTCAACAGCATTTCTTTGAGTTGTGTGAGCAAAAATGAGGGCAGCTAGGTTTAGACTGTTGGTGAGTTCCTTGGTCTGCTCTGATGTTTGCTTTCCTGAAATCCACACGATTTTTGAAATCACTTTTGGAAAATATCCAAGATATTTTGTGAAGAGCTTTGCTTTTACTGTCTTGACAATGTCTCTGAAAAGTATATTTACTGGTAAGATTGGCAGTGAATTTTATTATCTTTGGTAACTGATCAACCTTAAAATCAACATTTGATTAGTACCCACTTTGTATTTTGGAAGAATTCTTTTTCCCACTCTGAACCATTGCATGAGAGAAAGGTAAATGACAGTCAGGTATTTTTCTTGAATACTTAGAGCCCGTATCTTTTTCTCTGTCTCAAATAGTTCTCATTTTTGCCCCAGTATCAGTAGAGGCAATCATGTAGGTTTGTCTGAAAGTGAATTCTTTTTAGGGGGTGTGTTTTATTTTTTGTTTGTGAACCAAGAGGAGTGTTAATTAACCATGATGCAGTTTGGGCCCTGCCCAACGATAATACATGCATTTTCATCCCTCACTACTACGGTTTTCTCTGAACTTATCTTTTATAATGCTGTCAGAAGAGTAATTTTTATCATACGTTTAAACTTTCCTTGCCTCCACAATCCTGCAGTAAACAGAACTCTTTAGGATGGCTTTTAAGATCTTCTAAAATTCGACCCTGATATTCCTTTTTAGCTTTTTTTCTTATACTTTCTTATTTGTGTTCATATGGTCAATATAGTTTACTTAGATTTTCCTGATCGTTTCTTACTTCTTCCTATTTCTGACACTGTTTGGGATGTCCTCTTTTCCTCTCCTTACCTACCAAACTTCTGTCCAATTCAAAAACATTAGCTCAGATCAGTAAGAGTGAACTCTGACCTTGTTGATGCCATTGACTTGGCACAGAATCCTAAATTGGATCAGTGAGATGGAATGTGGTATTTGTGTGTCGTGTCCAAGGCGTGAGTGATGTAGCCTAGTGAGAAAGTCAGAATTACTCATTCTATTGTAGGCATTTCTTACCTCATGACAAGTAATAAACTTACTGCAGCTTTCTGTATGAGGTTGAGATGGTAAAGGAAAAAAGGCTATGGTAATTTTTCTCGGTGTGCGGTAAAGATAGTATGATTAACATTGACGATTAATTACTAAGATAACACTATGACATGCAATATTCACTAGGTTAGATACTTATATATCAAAGGTAAATCTAATAGTCTTGGAGATTTAAATATTTTTTGCTTCATATGCATATGCAGAAGAATTTCAACTTTATTTGAAACCCAAGTTTTATTTCATTGCGTTTAAAAGCATTTTACAGACTTACAATCCATCATAAATTTGATTTTTAAACACAATAAATATTTTGTTAATATAGTAAAAGTAATCTCTGATGTTATGCTCACATTTTCTTTTAGTACCATGAATTTGTGAAAAGGGAAAGAAGGATCTACATGAATATTTCAGTCTATCTCAATTGTAGATATTTAGGAAATATAAAATGTTAATTTATTTAATGATCTTCTTCCTTGCTTTTATTTTCAGGTTACTCATTTTTGTTTACCCCAACTTCTTCCATTGCTTAAACATACCACATCGTATCTTCACGAAGTGTTTGAGTTTTATGAAGAAATTCTTACGTGTCGATACCCATACTCCTGCTTTAAGACTGTGTTCGTCGATGAGGCTTATGTCGAAGTCGCTGCTTATGCCTCCATGAGCATTTTTAGGTTGGTGTGGCCTCAGATTTGCAAGGCTTAATTAGGGCAATGATTCGAAGACAAGTTATTCATATTATGGTCAATTTCAAGATGTGTTGAACTTTAATTATGGTTAGCTTTGTAGAAAATCTAGTGTTTTTAAAATTAAAAAATATAAAAAGTATAAAGAGGAAAATTTTAGAATACCCCAAAAGACTCATACTATTTTTATCCAGAATTAACTGATATTAATGTCTTACATATTTTTTAGTCTCTTTTCTGATTATGCAAATTTAGAAAATATTCTACGAGTTATTTTGTGGATAACTGGTGAGAAGTTTGGTTTTTTAAGCACTACTTAAACGTTCACTTATATTGTCAAATTTTTTGTAAGAAAAAAGGAAAGTTTTATTTTCTTTCTTTTTCTACCCTTTTTATCTCTCTTCTTTCTTTCATTCCTTGCAAAGTTTCAAATCTTCAGAAGTTTTATATGTCAAGGTCAATCATTTTACTCTATGTAGACCTGCATTTTCTCATCTGTAATAGTTACTGTTTGAAAAAGATTTTTCACATTAGAAGGGCCCTTTGTAGGAGGATTAGTTTCTAATTAACATATCTGACTGATGATGTTTCCCACTCACCCTCCCCAAAATATATTTTCATGGAAATCAGTGGGAAACATTGCAGTTCTTGCTTTAAGCAAAATGTATCAAGATTATGTGTTCAAGCTAAGTTTTGAAAAGATGCAAAAGAACTTCAAGAGAATATTCTAGTCTCTTCTCTATTATGCCTAACTTAAATTCTGTTATTTTAAAAGTGTGATTATTTCATTTTTGACTCAATAATTGTTTATTTCTTTGTAATAACTAGCTGTCTCTCTTGACTTCCAGCACAAATCTGTTACATAGTGCCATGATTATAGACGAGACACCTTTGACCAGAAGGTGTTTAGCCCAGTCCTTGGCCCAGCAGTTTTTCGGATGTTTCATATCCAGGATGTCTTGGTAAGTAATTTCAAAGTTTACAACTACTGAGAAAAAGAATTGAGAAACTTTATTTTTCTTTTCTTTCCTGTAGTGTCAGCAGACTTTTGTGCTAACGATAGCAGTTCATCTTAAAGACACTATTCTATACATATTTAAAGAGAAATAATGAGTATAAATTTTTTCTTGCTGCTTTTAAGATTCTCTTTTTTTCTTTAATCTTGGGTAGTGTAATTATGATATGCCTTGGTGTGTGCTTCCTTGGGTACAACTTCTTTGGGACTCTCTGAGCTTCCTGGAAGTCTGGTTCCTTTGCCAGACTGGGGAAGTTCTCCTTCATTATGTTTTCAAATAAGTTTTCAATTTCTTACTCTTCCTCTTCTCCTTCTGGCACCCTATGATTCGGATGTGGGAACGTTTAAAGTTGTCTCAGAGGTACCTAAGCCTCTCCTCATTTTTTTGAATTTCTGTTTCTTCATTCTGTTGCAGTTGAAAGTTTATTTCTTCCTTCTCTTCCAAATTGTTGATTTAAGTCCCAGTTTCCTTCCCATCACTGTTGGTTCCCTGTATATTTTCCTTTATTTTACTTTTCATAGCCCTTACTTTTTCCTCTATTTTATAACCATATTCAACCATTTCTGTGAGCATCCTGATAACCAGTGTTTTGAACACCACATCTGATAGGTTGGCTCTCTCCTTGTGGCTTAGTTCTTTTTCTGGAGTTTTGATCTGTTCTTTCATTTGGGCCATATTTTTTGTCTTGGCACACCTGTTATGTAGTAAGGGGGCAGCAGAGCCTTAGAAATTCACCAGGGCAGGGCAACCCCCTTTGCTACATTGTGGCACTGTATGTGGGAGAGGGGTCAGAGAGGGAACAATGCTACTTACTCTGATCTCAGTCGTCTTTCAGTCACTTCTCCTGCTATCCACAAGGAAATTAAGCCCTTCTGGTGCTGATTCCCTGGTGGGTGGTTTTGTGTGTGTTTTAGGACCCTGTGGGTCTCTCCAACAGACTCTCCTGTGAGGCTGGGAGTTTCTCCCACCGCTGCAATCCCTACAGATTTTTACAGCCAGAGGTTTTGAGGCTTTATTTCCCCGCACTGGAACCCTGGGTTGTGTGGTTTGTCTCGCTTCCCAGTTGTTCCTCACGGTTTATCTGCATGCAAATATGGGACCGCACAGTCCGCCAGCCGCCCGCCACCTTGCTACGCCACCTCTCTGCCCTGGCTGCCTGTCTCCACTCCTCTTACCATTCTGGATGAATGTTTCTTCTTTAAATCCTTGGTTGTCGGACTTCCATACAGTTAGATTTTCTGGCAGTTCTGGTTGTTTTTTTTTTGTTTTTAAACTGGTCATTGTCCTTCTTTTGGTTGTTAGAGGAGGCAAAGTATATCTACCTATGCCTCTATCTTGGCTGGAAGTCGACAGCAAAACTTCTTAAGAAACTGAGTGAATACTGTAGATAAAAGGACTTGAATGTACAGGAAACTATGTAGTTAGAGTCTGATGTCAGTGCTCAATCAGTTGGTAATGTTCAAGGTCCTCTACAACAGAGATAATGAGATAGGGATTTTCCTGCTAGTGCCTAGCTTTGTACTAATTTACTTGAATGAGGTAAGAGATAAGAACAGTTTTTATTTTTGTTTTCATTAACTTGAGATGAAGAAACACAGGAAACACTGTTAAGATTATATCTATAACTGTGACCATTCTGTGTTATAAATAGTATGTAAATAGGGTTTTTTTCCCCTCTCTTGTGGGAGGAGAGAGGGCAGAGGGTAAAGTCTCTAGATTTATAACTTTCTTTTTTTTAATTTTTTTTATTTTTGTTCATAGATTTGTAACTTTCTTTTTTTTTAAGATTTTATTTACTTATTTTTAGAGAGGGAAGGGAGGGAGAAAGAGAGAGAGAGAGAGAGAAACATCAATGTGCAGTTGCTGGGGGCCGTGGCCTGCAACCCAAGCATGTGCCCTGACTGGGAATCGAACCTGGATTTGTAACGTTCTTAAAATCACATAATTTCACTAAAGAATAGTACCTGGCCCTGGCTGGTGTGGCTCAGTGGATTGAGCACCGGCCTGCGGACTGAAAACTTGCCAGTCTGATTCCTGGTTAAAGCACGTGCCTGGGTTGCAGGCCAGGTTCCCAGTTGGGGGGTGAGAAAGGGAACCAAGCGCTGTTTCTCTCAGACATCATGTTTCCCTCTCTCCCTCCTTTCCCCTCTCTAAAAATAAATAAATAAAACCTTTAATAAAAGAAAAAAAGAATAGTGCCTGGAACATAGTAGACGAAATATTTGAATGAACAAATAAATGAATGGATAAAGATACGAATGAATAAATAAATGAAAGGTGTCAATTGCCTTTCCTATTGAGAACATTGGTTAAGTAATTTACCATCAGGTCTTGGATACCCACCGATAACTGTGCATGGGGTTGGTAATAGCAGAGTGTGGACTTGAAGAATTCAGCAGGACAGTCCTGGCCACAGGCACGAGTGTCTGAGGCAGACGGTGCGGACAGAGCTGGGCGAGAGGGAAGCAGCGCGCAGGCACGTGGTGCCGACCTAAGACTGTGCGGCAGTCCCACAGCTGGAGGTGAAGCCAGATGTGAAGAGGGTACAAGTGGAATTCAGCTGGAAGAAGTGGGGAAACCAAATAATTTGTTACTAACTTTCGTTTTCTTTAGGAGGCAGAGAAGTCTACACTACACCTGTTAACCTCCGTTTTAGGTAAAGAATTTTTATGATTAAAGTTCATATTTTTACTTCTTGCTTAGGTCTGATGAGTGGGTACTGAAGGGGATTTCAGGCTATATCTATGGACTTTGGATGAAAAAAACTTTCGGTGTTAATGAATACCGCCACTGGATCAAAGAGGTAAGCTAAGTAGATCCGTTACCCACTTAGAAGTCACGAAGACACCATAGTGCTCCCTGATTTCCAAGTTGCATGTCCTTCGTTTTCAATCATTGCAAAACACTTACTGTCATTCAGAGGCTCTGATTTTTTCCCAGGAAACTGAGCATCACTTTACTGAGAGAGACTGATGGTCTGTTTTTTTCAGTTTCCATCATCAGTGTTGGCCTCTAAAAACTTACTTGCTAAGGAAGAGAATATTTCCTTAATCATCAAGTTAGTCAGTGTTCCCGCTTCTCATTTTTAATGTTTTCCTCTGCTTCCTGCATTGGTTTAGACTTAGAGCCCAGGTTCCGGAGTCAGATTGCTCTGCAGTCCGCCTCATGCATTTACAAGCTTTGTTACTTTGGTTAGTCGTCCAAGCCTCATCTGTGTAAGGGGAGTAGTGTTAGTATCTAATCCACCCCATGGATGGGGATTATGAGACATCATAACCTGTAATATGCACGGTGCCTTGTGCATAGTAAGTGCCGGCTGGTGCTGGCCAGCTTTTCGTTGCATTTATGCTCCGGTCGTTCTTAGTCTTATTCCTGCTACTCAAAGATTTGGCCCAGAAGAAAAAAGTCAACTGTATTTTGCCGAGCCCATTCTATTCATGTACATACACAATTTAATCATACCATGTTTATTTAGCTTCTTCTCAGTTGGAAAAATGTTAGCTTTTCATGTCCTTATTAAATAGACCCTTCCACCTTCCCCCTTTTCTCATTTTATTTATCTTCATCATACAAACCTGAACTTAAGTAAGCCAGAGGTAATTGTGAAAGATTTCAAACATTTAGAACTGGGAAAGAATTTCTATATCTAGAACTGAATAGTTCACTCTTCATTTCAAAAACTGCTAATGAAGGAAAATGACATATAGCACTTACCGTGTATTGGGCACTGTTCCAAACATTTTATAAATGCTAACTAGGTCAATCTTCCTAACTACTCTGTTGTTACCCCATTTTACAGGTGAGGAAACAGGCACAGAGAGGTTAAGTTATTTGACCAAAGTAACACAGCTAGTAAGTGGTAGAGCCGGGATTTAGACCCAGCTTTCAAGCACTTCACTGTGGTTTTTACCACTTCTCTGTCCTGCTTGTACGTTGTTTAAACTCGTCATGAGTTTGAAGCATGGTTGTGTTGTCTCTCTCTTTTTTAAACTTTGATGTATGTCATATTGGAGAATGCTGGAGGAATTTTAAAATGTTGATTCCTGTTCTGGCTGGTGTGGCTCAGTGGATTGAGCGCTGGCCTGAGAACCAAGGGGTCACCGGTTCGATTCCCAGCCTAGGACACAAGCCTGGGTTGCAGGCCAGGTCCCCGGTATGGGGTGTGCGAGAGGCAACCACACAGTGATGTTTCTTTCCCTCTCTTTCTCCCTCTCTTACCCGCTCTCTAAAAATAAATAAAATCTTTTAAAAATTATTGATATTTGACATAATTTTATCCTCATTTCTTTTTACTTGCCTAAATTCTCCATCAAAGCCAAATACAGAGAAGGCAGAAATAAACTTGGAAAACCAAGTAGAGGGGTTGGGAAGATCCATTAGGAAGAAGTGCCAGGAACCTTGAAGTCACAAAGTAGATGAGGCTCTTTAGGCTCTGGCATTTAGCCAGCTGTGCAGTATGCTTTGTTTGCAAGAACGTGAACTGTTCTCCAAATACACTTCATTTATTTTAGTAAATTTATATTCTTTTTTTTTAAGATTTTATTTATTTATTTTTAGAGAGGGAAGGGAGGGAGAGAGAAAGAGAAACATCAATGTGTGGTTGCTGAGGGCCGTGGCCTGCAATCCAGGTATGTGGCCCGACTGGGACTCGAACCTGCGACGCTTTGATTCGCAGCCTGCGCTCAATCCACTGAGCTATGTCAGCCAGGGCTGTAAATTTATATTCTTAGACCAGGAAATAAGAACTTGCAGTTCTTAAAATTTTAAATGTATATGTAAAAAAATTTTTCACTGATGCCTATTTTTATATCTTCCTTAGGAGCTGGACAAAATAGTGGCATATGAACTGAAAACTGGTGGAGTTTTACTGCATCCCATATTTGGTGGAGGAAAAGAGAAGGATAAGTATGTTTGTTGTTCGAAGATGATATTGTAAGCCTGGTTTTATGGGATCACTCTTGGGGGATCGTTTGTGTGGTGCCGAGGCCCCCACAGAGCAGAGGGACAATAGTGACCGTAGATAATAGTATTGGGGACACAGGCACTGGTAATCTTCTCCTGACTCCTTTTGTTACTGTTTTGTTGCATGTGAGGGCTCTAAGTGGTTTTTAGCGTTTAAAAAAGACTTCAAATGGACAGCTTTTCTTTTTTCCGTGTTAATTTTTTAATACTACTATATTATACTCCTGTCATCAAAGGTTTCATATAATGGAAGCACTGGTAATTATTTTAAGTCTGAGTCAGTAATTTCAGTATCAAGACATCCTGCCTGCACCTATTGATGTCCCCTTTCCTTTTCTCCTTTCATTTCCCTCTCTCACCTGTCTTCCTTTCTTCCTCTTTTTTTCTGTTTTTTTTTGGCAAGTCCCTGCAAAGGAGACAGCCACATACAATAAAATAATGGTGCTAGCAGGGATTCTGTTTGTCCTCGGGTTCATGGATTCCTAAAGGGAATGTGGATTGATTTTTATATTTTCACAAAGCATAAAGTGAAATTTTACATTTTCTTATGTAGACAACAGACAGTGCTGTGACTTTGTCAACAGTAGACATGGATTTTATAGTTGTTAGCAGATATCTTGAAATATTCTTTGTATTCGTCACTACCTCAGATTTACTGCAGTAGACCAATGCTAGGTCTTCCTGTTTAATGCATTGATAAACTAACACATATGTTGGTATATCATAACTTTTTTATATTTTGATAACTGCATTTTGTTTTTTAAAAGATTTTACTATTTATTTATTTTTAGAGAGAGGGGAAGGGAGAAGGAGAGGGAGAGATACATCAACGTGTGGTTGCCTCTTGCGTGCCCTGTACTGGGGACGTGGCCCACAACCCAGGCATGTGCCCTGACTGGGAATTGAACCGGCGACCCTTTGTTTCACAGGCCGGTGCTCAGTCCACTGAGCCACACCAGCCAGGGCTGATAACTGCATTTTATATCATTGACTTTCTCTGTAATCCTGTACATTTTATTTTGTGCATTTTAAACTGCGGTCTCACATGGGGCTGATAGAATTCACCAGATTGCCTAAGTGTCTAAAAGCACAACAAAGGTTAAGAACCTTGAAACTGTACAACCAGTAGCCTTTTTTGTTAGGGCCATTGAGACAAGATTAAGTTAGCAGAAAGGCCTAGGAATTTGGAGTTAGAAAAACTTGGAGATTTTGTCACTACTGATTTTTGTGATCTAAGAATATTGCTTATTGTTTCAGAGAGAGAGAGAGAGAGAGAGAGAGAGAGAGAGAGAGAGAGAGTGTGTGTGTGTGTTCTAATGTGTAAGAGACAGTGATGGCCCATGACCCATTTTGAGCAGGTTGGCTGTGAGGACCGTTGAGACGGAGTTTGGTACCCAGTGTGTGTAGTACACGCTCACCCGGGAAGCATTGGTGCCTTTCCCTTTCTTCCCTTGGCTGCCTGCCGTGTGGCAGCTTCCCAGAACATGATGAGAGCTTTCCTGCTGTGTGAAAATATTTACCCAGGGTGCTTTTACCTTGGTTCTTCCCATTTATTTAGTTCTTGTTATATGTTTAATTTTTTAAATTTACGTATGTATAAAAGCAGCACATGAACAATGCTCTTTGAGGAAATTAAAAACTGAACAGTTTAGAAGTGTGTGGAGTAAAACGTAAAAGGTCCCTTTCAGCTCTGTTTCATACCCCTCCCTCCCACCAAAACCGCTCCTTGGGGGTAACCGTGATTGTAGTACATTTGGCATATAGGCCTTTTTTGTTGCCTTTATTTGTGTGTACATGGCATTTATAAAATGTAATTCAGTCACATGCATATTACTATGTCCTTTTAAAAAACATTAACCATATCTATATATTTTGGCGAACAATATATATTAATTTAGTTTTGTTCCACGTTAAGAGCTATATAGTATTCCATTATACCTTGGAATTTATTTAACCTTTTCCATATTGCTGTGCATTGCTAAAGCTCATAAGCTTATAAAGCTTATAAGCTTGGAAGTAATAATGAAATATAAAAATATTTAAATATCAAATTGATAAATATTTTAAATTTCAATATGCTGTGTTTTTAAGGAAGTATAATGACTACTCTTATACATTAGTTTTGAGAGTATAATTTGGTACATTGATTTTAAAGGGTAATTTGTTTTTACCAATCAAAATTTTTAAATGGGTGCTTTTTAGATTCAGCAGTTCTGGGTGTGTTATATAGAAATTCTACTTCTAAGTGTTTGCTGTACAGAAATACTTGCACATATGTAAAAAGATAGTCACTACAGCATTATTTGAAATAGTGAACAATTGTAGACAAATGCTCATGTATGTCATAAATATTTTTTACTAGACTTGACCTTTTAATTTATTGATTGATGTTTTTTCATGTCAGAATTTAATTTTTTTGCATAGTCAGTCTAGTCTTTATGTCCTCCAGATTTTATTTTATTTTATTTTTTTGGAAGATTTTTTCCTACCCCAAAATTATGGAAAGAAATTTTTTCATTTATTTTATAATTGATTTTGTTTTACATATGTAGTTCTTTTTGATTTGTGTGTATGTGCCTGTGTGTGTATGTTGTATGTTTCCTAGTCTTTGTTGCTCTCATATTAAGAAAATTGCTAAGGTATTCTGATGAGGTTTTTGATTTGTTGCCTTGATGCAGCCATGAAATTTCCTGTTTACTTACAATTCCGGTTTGTTAAGTGAACCTGTTTGTTTGTTTAGCCCAGCATCCCATCTGCACTTCTCAATAAAGCATCCGCATACGCTGTCCTGGGAATACTACACTATGTTCCAGTGTAAAGCTCACCTTGTGATGAGATTGATTGAAAACAGAATCAGTATGGAGTTTATGCTACAAGTAAGTATTGAACTCAAGAACTTAACAGTTGTACAGAAAGGTCCGTCCCGCATGAGTATAACCCGAATGCTGTTCAGTAAAGAGGGGCAGAGTGTCTGGGTTTTACAGGTGGAGTTCCGTTAGTCATTAGCCGCAGGTCCCCTTAGCCCTGTGGTTTTTGTTTTGTGTTTCCTCAGACACAGAATGAGCGTCTGTACTTGACCCATTTAGTAGAGGAGTATTGCAAAGATAAAACTAGAATGTGAGGATGAGGGTAAAACGTGTCTGTACATATGATTCTGTGTTCGGCATTATTTAGAATATTAAGGACGAAGTGCCCTTTAGAAATGTTTTCCTTAGGAAAAGCAAAACTATCTAAAAGATGCTTATTTTTGCTATGGCTGAGTTCTGCCATCTATTTTAAGCAAGTTCTGATGTAGGTAGTTGAGCTATGCAGTAAGTCAAGGTAGAACAAACCAGATGTATAATAAATGTTCAGCTATTTCTTTTCCATTCATGACATCCTCAGAGGTAAGCAAAAAATAACTTTAGTAATCTTTTTAGTTTGCTCTAAAATTAAGTTTCTTTAATTCTTCTGTCCTTCACCCTGCCCTTAAAGAACAGAAATACTAGGTGGTTCATCAAGAGCCAGTTAACTTTTGTGAGTGGTGTAAATCCTACTGAGTGTCCCCAACTTCTGAAATGAACAGGGTTTAGTTCTATGTAAACCTCACAGCATAATACATTACAGATGTTGTATATTATTCTTATTGCAGTTCTTAAAAAGTATTCAGTGTTTGACTAGGCTATCATTAAAATTCAGTTATATTTAGAGGAAGAATGGTTATTCTGGCTGTTTAATTCTTTGCACGCTTCTTCTGCTGATCATCTTTAACTAGAACAGTCTATATAGTAAGATGTGCAATTATTGTCTCTGTGATTGACTAGAATAAAGTTATATTGCAGTGTTGTTTGGAAGAGAATTGAAAGCAAAGTGTATTATGTTACTAAATGATACAAAGTTACTGAATGACACTTCTATTCTTACAGGTTTTCAATAAACTGCTAAGTCTGGCCAGCACTGCTTCCTCTCAGAAGTTCCAGTCGCATATGTGGAGTCAGATGCTGGTTTCCACGTCTGGGTTTTTGAAGTCCATCTCAAATGTCTCTGGCAAAGACATCCAGCCTTTAATAAAGCAGTGGGTGTATCCTTTTAAATAGCAGTTCAATGAAGCAGGGAGGGGGATAGGTTCATGTGTGTGAGGGGAAGGAACTAGAAGAGGGATTTGGGGGATGAAAGGAGGTAAGAACTATTTTTATTTCCAAATAATGGTAAAAATAACCAGGACCTGTAAATCATTTCCTGTAAAGTGCTTACTAATGATTGTGCTCATACACACACACACACGCACACACACCTGTACTATTTATAAAATTTGGCATATTTTGGAGCAGTAGTTTTTAGTTTGAGTACAGCAATGGTAGAGGCGGGACCTAACTCATCAGGACTGGCCTGAGGGGCCACTGGTAAGGTGCAGTGGTCTGGGGACTTGGAGGTTAGAGGGTGGCACATGCTGAGTTGTATCTTGGAACTTTTTAGTTTTTACATTTTCTCATTTCGTTATATTAATAACCCAGTAGAGTGGTTTTATTTCTTTCAAAACACAAATTTCCCAATGTTTCAGAAATTCTTTTTAAATCTGGGGAAACATTTTTCACAAGAATTTTGAATACTTCGCCACCTGCTTCACAATTGAAACATGCTTTCCAAGCTTTGAACTGACGGGAATGCATTTGAAAATTATTATTACCACAGTGAATCATTTGTTTAGTATATATTCATTTTGGTGTGCAAAAATTCCTTTACAATTCTTCAGAGACCAGAGTGGAGTGGTAAAATTTTATGGAAGCTTTGCATTTAATAGAAAACGAAATGTCTTAGAATTGGAAATAAAACAAGATTATACATCTCTTGGAACTCAGAAATATGTGGTAAGCTTTTTTCCAAAATGGCCTTTTGCATTGCCTTCTCCCTCATTGCAAAGTAGGAGGGGCTGATGGGTGGCAGATCTGGTTAGAAGCTTCATAATGAGAGTTTGCTTGCAAAGAACAAAATTGAGCAAGTACCAAGTGTTGGTGGAGGGAAGACGGGTTACAGATGATTTCATGGGGTACAAATTCTTCTAATTCTCCCCTCCTCTGGCACCGATTGCCTTTGTCTTTCTCCAGTTACACATCTTGTATACTATTATTTTATATCTTGATATGTACCCACACTCGTAAGAATATGTATTGGTATCCTTTTAGCAATATGAATGTTGTTTCTTTTTAAAGGGACCACTTAAAGTGACAGTGCAGGAGTTAGATGGATCCTTCAATCATACATTGCAAATTGAAGAAAACAGCCTTAAACATGATATACCCTGCCACTCCAAAAGCAGAAGGTAGGCACTGAGTCATACTTATAGATTAAAGTTTATAGTTAAATTGTAAGTTTCACAGATTAAAATGCCAAAATAAACATCCTAATGTATACCTAATTTTTTAAAAAGATTTTATTTGTTTAGAGAGAGCAGAAGGGGGGAAGAAAGAGAGGGAGAGAAATATCAATGTGTGGTTGCCTCTCTTGTTCCCCCTTACTGGGGACCTGGCCCGCAACCCAAGCATGTGCCCTGACTGGGAATCGAACTGGCAACCCTTTGTTTCACAAGCCGGCACCCAGTCCACTGAGCCACACCAGCCAGGGCTTGTATACCTAATTTTTTAGGTAGAAAATATGTTATCTAGTATCTTTTCCTCCCTATTTTACTTCAAGTTAATATTATCAAACATTATTTGCTTTCCATTTTTGGCAACATTTTTATGCTTATAATTAAATAAAATTTCAATAGGTTTGAGAATCCTTATTTTGTAGTAGTACAGCAAGGTAGAATGGAAATTGAGTTTTTGGAGCCTGGAAAAATTCAAGGCAAATTGCTTAGTTTCATTCTTATTCGTCTCATTGGTTTAACATCTACAGGAAATTTTGGGGAAATGATCATTGAATATAAAGGAAGGAGCTGACTACATGCGTCATGAAAGCCCCTGCACCTCCTACACTGCGTGTCCCCCTCCCTTTCCCTGTGTCCTCAGGCCCTTACAGAAGTTCTCACGGTCGTTCAAGGGCACAGTGCCATTTCACTTAGGAAATGCACAGCAGTTCATCCTTTACTCAGTACATTTTTCTTTATCACGACTTTTTAAGACTCAGGCATGTACTCTGAGTAGTAAGAGATGAGTACTTTTGTGCTTTGCTGGAGTAATGTGTAGTAGTGTCAGAATTTCAGGAGTAGAAGTCTGTACTCAGGACTGCATTAGCTGATCTCAGACGTGAGAGTGTCAGTGGATTTTGGTGGCCTTCACGGAACTTGATTCTGAGGTCTCCCTGTAATCATTTTTTTCTCTGAAAATTCTTTCTCAGTTTAGAGTGAAATTCCCCTTTTTATCCTTTCTGCCTTTGTTGTTGGGAACATCTGATTGCTGCCCTCCTCGTAGCATTTTCTCAGTTTTGTTTTTCTCTGTGTAATGACAGTATGTCATTTGGGTATTCTTGGGTGTGAGAAATGCAGGAAGACTGTTCTGTGTTGTTCACTCACCCTCACCCAAGTTGTTGGGGTGTCAGCTAGTAGGGTTTGTGATTCGAGAGTAGTTTGCATGATTCCAGCTGCTTCTGTTTTAGCTTATCTCAAATCTTGTATTTAATTATACATATTGATTAGTACCATTAGGATGCTTTATGGCTAACCACTTCATTTCATGTAGGAAGGACCCTACCTGCACAGAGGGTGTGTGTGTTCAGAATTATTCATGTCTCATTTCAGGACTGTTGATATATATTCTTTTTTAATACAAGTTGTTTTTTTTTATTGATAGCTCTCATTTTTTTCTACATAAAACTGTAGTACCAGTTCTTAGGAATATGGTTAGAGCTGACATTTAGTTATATACTTCTTTTTGTTAAACTTGGATCAGAAAGACATTTCAATATCAATTACTCCATTCCTTCAGCTTCAAAATAGATGTCATTGTGATTAAATTCCATTACATTTACTATTCCTGCTTCCTTTGGATATCTGTCAATGTTGTGTGAAATCCTTAACTTGAACTTGGGCCGCTCTTTTATCTCCTTTTAGAAGTGGAAATGTCACAATTTTAAAACTACTTAAATTACTTTTTCTTATATGTAGAAATAAGAAGAAAAAAATCCCACTGATGAATGGAGAGGAAGTCGATATGGATCTTTCCGCAATGGAGTGAGTTTATTCCTTAAGTTTAAGGACATACTATTTTCTGCATTCTCATTTGTCTTGATGTGCACCTCTTAAAGTATATAAATGTCCTGAAATCAGTGCTTTTAAAAGGCAGTGTAACCTTATGCTAAAAACAAATCTTATATATAAAATCATAGACAGTGGAATACTACTTAGCCATAGAAAAGATGAAATATTGCCATTTGTAACAGTATGGGTGGATCTTTATACTATCATGCTAAGTGGGTAAGTCAAGTAAGAAAGGACGAGAATCATGATTTCATACATGTGTGGCATAGAAAGTACAACAAGCCACAGCTCACCAAACAAACAGGATCATAGACACAGAGAGCAATATGGTGCTGACCAGAGCCGAAGGAGGGTGGGGAGCGGATGGAGACAGTGGAGACGCATGTCAGACGTACGGTGACAGGAGGAGACTAGACTTGAGGTGGTGAGCACACAGCGGAGCACACAGGTGCGGTGTGACAAAACTGGACACCCGAAACTTGTGTGACGTTACTGACCGGTGTTACCCCAGTAAAGTAAGTAGTCCGAGAGGGAAGAGTGAACCCGTCCTGGCCCTGACGAACTGAGGAGGAACCACGGGGCGGGGTGGGAGTGGGCACGGAACGGACTTGGGCAGCTTCCTTGCCCCTCTGCCAGTCTCTAGACCAGTGCTGCTCAGGCTGTAACATGAACGTCAGTCACCGCAGGGGCGTCGTTCTGGGGGCGAAGGCAGGTTCTGATCCAGCACTGCACCAGGGGGTCCTGATGGCTTGCAGTCTTCACGAGCCAGGGCTCAGGCGATACTTGCGGCCCTTTGTCTATGGACAGGGCTTCGGGGTACTTGAAAGGCTCCTCTGCTTGCAAAACACAATATAAATATCATTATTTAAACATTTTGTGTGGTATTATTTATTGAAAGTTTTATTTTTTAAATATGTAGCTCAAACTTTTTGTTCATATTGTACCTGTATATTTTTTTTATAAAATAGCTGCAATTATTTACTAATCTGATTGCCAAATATCATTGCTGTTTATGTCCCTTTTTTTTTGGTAAAGATTTTATTTATTTACTTTTAGTGCAGTAGGGAGGGAGAAAGAGAAGGAGAGCAACATCAATGTGTGGTTGCCTCTCGCACACCCCCGACTGGGGACCTGGCCCGCAACCCAGGCATGTGCCCTGACTGGGAATTGAACCAGTGATCTCTTGGTTCACAGGCCGACAATCCACTGAGCCACACCAGCCAGGGCTGTATACTGTTTTCATACTTCTTCTATATCGTGTGACTTGGCTGTAGTAACCACTGAGTGGTATTTGATGAATTGAATTAGTATTTTAGACAGTGTTCCTTTGATAAAAGTATTCATGTAGACCAGATTTTTTTAAAAACGTGCTCGTTACTTTGAGAAGTTATGAGCATAAATTTGTGATATGGCTCTGGACTATGATTTCAGAACTTGCTATTTAAAAAAGGTAATCATATGTCTAGCATTATAAAATGAAGTATTAAAATCAGTTAAAGAAATTAATTTAGTAAAATAATTCACTTCTTCATCATTGCTTTCCAATGAGGGATGTCACTTAAAGCCTCAGTCAGTTATTTAGCTGCAGGAAGTGAAATGAAGAGACTTAGTCTCGTTCCCCTTTTCACATCTGCATATCATGCAGTCACCAATCAAAGTCCCAGATTAATAATTTCAGATGGGATTTTTTTGTTATTATCCTTGGAGATCTTTTCAGCAAGATTGCTACAGATAGACATTGTGATGAAGTTAAAATATATTGAACATAATGCCACGGTTGTCAGTGTAATTTTAAAAAAAATGAGTACATAAAACCCCAGGCAGTCCTGAATACTGCATGAGGAAGAGAAACTGGTTAGGAAGTGTGCTTTGTTTTTACTTTAGGCACATGTAAAACTACACAACTGACACAGCTACGGTGGAAAACTGTGTTTTCTTTCAGCGCCGACTCCCCTTTGCTGTGGATACGGATAGACCCCGACATGTCGGTACTGAGGAAGGTGGAGTTCGAGCAGGCCGATTTCATGTGGCAGTACCAGCTCCGCTACGAGCGGGACGTGGTGGCGCAGCAGGAGTCCATCCTGGCCTTGGAGAAGTTCCCCACGCCGGCCTCGCGCCTCGCGCTCACCGACATTCTGGAGCAGGAGCAGTGCTTCTACCGCGTGAGGATGGCCGCTTGCTTCTGCCTTGCGAAGGTGAGGTTACACACGTGGGAAAAGTAAAACCCTGAAACGGAATTAAAATTCACCGTAGCCTTTGATTTTACTTGGTAGCTGGTCCCTTCAAAGCTTTGTCAAAAGCTTTTTCTAAAGACCGATCTGAAAGAAAGACATTTGACCTGAAAATGGGTAACGTATTAAAATTGTATAGTTGTCAAACCGAAAGGCAGGTTTTAAAACCAAAGAGAAGTTTTCACCATTGTATTGACTTGCCAGCTACATTGTTAAGCAGAGAATATTATTTGGTAAGAAAGTCCTTGTTGGACATTAAAGTACATGAAATCAGCTCATCTTAAGTATCCCAAAGTGGTGCTTGTTTCATGCCGGTTTGGACTTAGTAATCAATGCTAGTAATACATAATTTTAAATGATAGGTTCTGTAATTTAACATGCTAGGAAAGTTAATTTGTTAAGAAAACTAAATATTTTCTTTAGATGCAAAAAAAACAAAGGTAGAACAAATAAAAACCAGAAAATGCAGGCAAAAATTTGGCCAGAAATACTGGGTTCCAGGTATTTAAAAAACATCTCAATAATAGGTTCATTTCCATTTAGCCACTCTCTTGCCTTCCTCAGTGCTGAATTCATTTGCCCAACATTTCACCAGATCATAATGGTTTGGATTTGTTATATCTTTAATGGGCACTAGTGAGTAGTTGGATTCCTACACTCTACTCAAGTAAATGAGGGAAAGATTATTTTCTTTGATAATCATCGGTTACGGATACAGTTGCATTGCTTTTATAAAGATCTTTGTGATTCTTGCATGCTACATTCTTAGCAGATCCATAAAATTAAGTTATTTAAAGTTAATTATAATCTTATTTTTAGGCATGATTTTTATATGCACTAAAAGTATCAATAGCAAGATTCATTTTTTTTTTGTAAGCATTCTTACAGACTTACATGGTAGTGTGGTACTTGGTTTGTTTTTCAGCTAGGGTAGATTTTAAAACCTTTAAAACCCATGGTGATGTTTCTAGCTGATAAATTTAAAATTTTAGAATTACATCTGCCTAAATGGACAAATACAGACTTATTTAGAATATATGCCTTTTGCAAATGTGTTTTCCTAAAATATAAAGAATGCTCCAATTTAGAAATGAACTTGTAGAAATAATTATAAGTGTACATAAGAATTTGGGAGGGTGAATTTGTATATAATCTCAGAAATGACAATGGAAGGCTAAAGTTGATTACACTTAATGAGAATTGAGTTGTTGAAAACTAACCTATTAGCATTACTAACTTTTAGAAAGTGGTTTTATTTATTTAAAAATATGTTTGCTTTGGTGATGGAAACTCTTTGTTACCTAATTACTCGCAGATTGCAAACTCGATGGTGAGCACGTGGACAGGGCCGCCAGCCATGAAGTCACTGTTCACGAGAATGTTTTGTTGTAAAACGTGTCCGAATATTGTGAAAACAAACAACTTCATGAGCTTTCAAAGTTATTTTCTACAGAAGGTACAAGTTTACTTTCCAAATCTCTTTCGATTGTTTTCTGCCACTATCTGTACATCTCAGCTTAACCCGGAGACTATTCAAGTAGTAGACGTGTCTTGCCGTGTTCGTTTTTTGTTTTTAAAATGGTTTTCCAGCTTGCTCATTGATTCTATGAGCGGTGGGAAAGGCACTCACTCTCCACACTAATACTAAAGTAAAGGGCAATGGACACTTTGAATTCGGGGTTGGTTACACGGGAGGTGGAGGTGTGGGTAAGTCCTTCTGATGGTGTTCCTTCTGGAGTGTGGAGTGTGGGCAGCATTTCTTTCTTTTTAAAAAATATTTTATTTATTTATTTTTTTAGAGATAGAGGAAACGAGAGAGAAAGGGAGAGAAACATCAGTGTGTTGTTGCCTTTCATGTGGTCCCCATTGGGGGCCTGGCCCACAACCCAGGCATGTGCCCTGACTGGGAATCGAACCGGCGACTCCCTGGTTCACAGCCCACGCTCAGTCCACTGAGCCACATCAGCCAGTGCTGTGGGCAGCATTTCTGAGTCAGAGAGAAAGCAGCACACAATTTGAGCTTTAGGCCCAGCTCCGCTCCTCACTAGCAGTTTGCACAAACACAAGTGTCTTAACCCTCTTAGCCTCCATTGACCCAGTTATAAAGTTTGTCTTGTTTAGAATTAACACCAAGCATGTGAAGTGTTTTAGGTCATGTTTACCACATAGTGAGTCTTCTGTAAATGGCAATATAGAAAGTGGTGGTGTGATGGGGTCGCTGTTTTAGGAAGGGATGTGAGTGTGGCAGGGTGGCCAGCATTGGGCAGTGCGCAAGTCATTTGTAAAATGTTTTGAGTGACTTATTAATAATAGTGAAGGCAGAGATGAGACGAACTGGAGTGGAATAGAAGAAGAGTGAAGCTGAAGTAGAAAAACTAACAAAGCCTGCTTTCTGGTTCGGGGGTGGAGAGTGGGAGAAAGGAGACATGCGGGGGATAGGGCAGGGCTGAGCAAAGGGCATTTGGGGTTTGTTTTGCTTTGGATAGAGGGCGGAAAAACTTGAGGCATGTTTGGCACAGAGAAAGTGACCACTGGAGAGGGAGAGATGAAATAGTCCATGGGAGCCAATAAATACTAAAAAGATGGCGTGAATCCTGAAGGTATTGGTAGTGGGTGGGATGGAGCCAGGAGGTACATTTAAGAAAAGTCAGAACCTGCCTTTGTCAGAGTCAGGCTTCCACCTCCTTAGAAAAGTTGCCTGTGAAAATTCGGGAGGAAGAAGGTTAAGCTGGATTTCAGATACTGTACCACTTCTCCCGAAGCTGAGATGGGATGGCACAGGGGAATCACCGTGTTCTCAGACTGGTGGCTGAACTGTGTGCCTCCAGCCACGAAGTCATTCAACCCTGAAAGGCTGTGAGGAGTGGTTGTGAGGTGGTGAGGCTCCTGCTTAGTAAGCAACCAGCCAGAATCACCCGTCTGAGTAGGCGGTAGAGGACGAATTGAACGATGGTTTCTCTGATGCTAAAACCCATGCCTTTTCCACTGTAAAACCCAGAACTGAGTTTTTATCATTTACCTGGCATGTATTTCCTCTGACGACTGAAAGACAGAGGCACGTGGGCGACGGGGTGCACCCAGTTACGCAGCTCTCCCCTCCGTTTCCTACTCAGCTCTCCTGTGAGAGCTTGGTGACACGCTCTTAGTGGGAGGGGTGGGAGTTAGGGGGTCGGCTGCATCTGGATACCTGTGCCAGCTCCAGAGTCCCCTTTTCCTGCACGTGCGGAGTTCAGTGATGGTAGTAATGGCAGCGTTGAGTTACATGTTTGATTTCTTTTTTCTGTAGACCATGCCAGTTGCAATGGCTCTGTTGAGAGATGTTCACAACCTTTGTCCCAAAGAAGTCCTCACATTTATTTTAGACTTGATCAAGTACAATGACAACAGAAAAAATAAGGTAAGATACCTTAATGAATATTACAAAACTACCCAGGGTTACGTGGCTTTTAAAGAAATATTTAGACTGAAATTATTGTTGAGTCTGTGGTACTTGAAATTTCTAGAGTTAGAAACATGTAAACATGATTTGTTATAATAACCAGTGGATAAAAACTGAGATTAGCTGGTTTTTACATGTTTCTTATACCTGTTGTAATGTGGAGATAATAGTGCATTAGATTTTGGGGTGCCAGCTAAAACTTGTTTTGGGGACGTCTGACAAACTAGTTTTATTTTTACGTCTTTTTTTGTTTACCAAGTGACACCCAGAAAACAGTTCCCTCTTGGGTTAATTTTTTATTGATGAATTCGACATTTTCTTAAACCACCTTATGTGTTTATTCATTTAGTTAGCAAATAGCTATTGGATGCCATGCTTCAAGTTATTTTGTCTGTGCAGGTAGGGTTGTAGTATCTGTGAGAATCGATGTGCTCTGAGGGATACGTGTGAAATCATTTGGTTTTCCTGCTCTACCCACAGCCCCACCTCCTGTTTAACTTCTGAGTTCATTCTGTGATCCAGGTGTGTAGGTCAGAAACAGTGGTTGAATAAATGAGCTTTTGCTCTGTTGGCAAAGTAGTTAGCAGAGGTAACAATGAAACCATAACAACACTTTAAGAAAACGACATCTAAATGGTTTGATCCACAGTGTGCACTTTGGAGTAGTTTCTTTTTGTTTGTTGTTATAAACCATACTTTTTTTTCGGGCTCAGTATCTGAACACCACACTCCTTAGGGACTCTGTTGTCACGTGTGTCGCTGTGTGGTTTGCCTCCACAGTGAAGTCAGGAGGCGTGGGTGTTCGTCTTCTGTCCCTGGCAGTCTGTGTTGCTGGCAGAAGTAGCTCACTCACTCCATGCTCAAATGACCAGGCTAGAGTATCTGATTTCCTCTGTTTAAATCAAGCCACACCTAGATTGCTTTTCAATAAATTGCTTCTCTGCGAATTGACTGGGGTATGAGTTTAGGAATTAATATTTTTTTATGGTTTCCTTCTCCATTTTTTCTGCTTTTGCTAGAAACTCCTATTATTCCTATGTTATGTCTTCAATACCATCCCTCCAATTTCCTTACATTTTCCTTCCTATTTTTGTCTTTTTTTGCTCAAAATTTCAGGAGTTTTTAAGATATTTTATATTTCAGTTTCATTTTGATTCTGATTCTTGGGATATATCTTTCTTTAAAAGTGTTTTGCTATTGGAAGGCATCTCTTTGGTTATTCCTAAGACATCTGTGATAATTTTGGGTGTTTTCCCCCTGCCAGTTTTCCTTGTACACATTGTTTTCTTCAAGTTGATTTTTCTCCTTTGTTCTGGTCTTTTTTACGTTGATACTTAAAAAAAACTATCTGGTGATCTTTGGGTTATATGTTTGTATATGAGAGTAGAGCATGCAGTAGCTGACTTGAAGCTCTGTAGTACAAGCAGGATTTGTGAACTGTGGTCCTCCTTTTGGAGGAACCTTGCTAGGTTACTCCGGGAGTACCATTCATGTGGTATTTGTTGAGTATACTAATATATGAACTCTGTCTGAAAAAACTGAGCCATTGTTAATATAACAAGAATTGTTTGAGTGACATCAATGTAACCTGGCAGTCAAGGAGAGTGGGCTGGAATGCGCATGTGTAAACAATGACGACTTCATTGTACTAGTCGGTGGGAGTGGTAGACGCCGTTGAGCAAGCATGTGTACTGTGTGGTTGTCACATTCAAAATGACTGAGACAGTAGAGCAACAAATCTGCATCAGATTTTGCATTAAGCTTGAACATTTCTCCATGGAAACTATTCGGATGATTCAGAAGGATTTTGGGGATGATGCAATGAGGGCAGCACAAGTAAAAGTGTGGTGCAAATGCTTCAAAGATGGTCGAAAAATCTGTCAAAAGTGATCCATGTTCTAGAAGGCCTGCACCAAGCAGAACATCTGAGAATGTTGAACATGTACGGGCTGTCATCAACAAAGATCGGCGACTGACAGTGCGAGGGTGAGAAGCTCATCTGGTGATTCCAAAACTACCGTGTCCGAGATTTTGACACAGAATCTTGGCATGAAACAATGGCAAAACTCGTTCCTCAGCTGCTTCTGCCAGAGCAGAAGGAATGTCGTGCAGTTGCTAATGACTTGATTATAACCGTCAGATTTCCTCAAGAAGGCCATAACCGAGATGAATCGTGGGTCTAGGCCTGTGTTCCGGAAATGAAGGCCCAGTCGTCCCGATGGAAGTTGCCCTGGTTCTCCGAAGTCACAGCAAGATCAAGACCACAAAGGTGTCGTCCATCATGAGTACGCCCCTCCAGGCCAAACAGTTAATGAGGAGGACTTCCTCAGTGGTCTTCATCCGTTGAGAGATGCGGTACAGTGAAAACGCCCGCAGCTGTGGGCAACAGGTGGCTGGCAGCTTCATCGTGACGGTGCTCCGCCTCATGCATCTCATCTCGTGCAGAGTTTTTTTGGTAAAACATCAAATCACCCAAGTGACTCGGTTCCCCTGCCTCCCAGATTTGGGTTCCTGCAACTTCTGGCTTTTCCCAAAACTCAAGTCACCTTCAAAAGGGTAGAGATTTCAGACCGCCAACAAGAATCAGGAAAATACTACAGGGCAACTGATGGTGATTGGGATAGCTCTGTGAGACCAACGTGCCTCCTTGAAGGGGACTGGGGTGTCATTGTCCCATGTACAGGGTCGTGTATCTTCCTCAATAAATGTCTGCTTTTCATAGTGCATGGCCAGATATTTTTTGGACAGCCTTGTTGTATTCCTGATTTGTGAATCTTTCACTTTTTCCCTTTTGTGTCACTCTACATAAAGGGTCAAGTTAAACACTTACTAACTTACGTTTTCAGATAATTATGTTCTTAGATTATGAATATTTCATTGTATTACTTTTGAACAGGAGTATGGATTTTGTTATCCTCATATAATTTTTTGCCTTAGTTTTCAGATAACTACTATCGTGCAGAAATGATCGATGCCCTTGCCAACTCCGTTACGCCTGCAGTCAGTGTGAATAACGAGGTTCGAACTTTGGATAACTTAAATCCAGATGTGCGGCTCATTCTCGAAGAAATCACCCGGTTTTTGAATATGGAAAAGCTGCTTCCAAGTTATAGACACACCATCACTGTCAGGTGTGGTGATTCTTTACACTTGCTTTAAAGTTACTTTTAAAATTGTAAGAGAAATGTATTCCCATTATAGAAAACTGGGGGATACAGTAAAGTTAAAGGAGAAAATTAAAACCCTATGATTCTGTCATCCACAAACTATTGCTGTACTGTTTTGGAGAATGGCCTCCTAATTTTCTCTTGAAAAATAAAATTTTTTAATTAGTGAACATATATTGCATATAGTTTCCATATTCTGCTTATATCATAACCTTACATCATCAGAAACTCTTTGAAAACATTATTTTTGATGTCTGCATAACGTTTTATCTTATTGGATATCATATAAGCATCCTTCTGTTAGACACTTTTAAGACGACTTTTGCTTTTCTCAGCTTCTTTGCATATGATTATCAGAAAGTTCTCTCTCTTTAGGAGTTTGCTAAAAATAAAAAAGTTGATTCACTGTTTTAAACATTATGAACAGTTTAACCTTCCACACTTATTATTTACTAAACTCTGTAACTCAGACTTTTGGAGAAAATGCTAAGTATAATGATACCTGAAATTGAATTTCCAAACAAGTTTTAAAATTTGTTTTCCTTTAGTAGCATGTAGATACTTTTAATTTTTACGATTATTGCAAAAATGTAGTGATAAGAATTAAAAGTTGGATTCAAATCAGATCAACTTTTCAGTTCGCTGTTACAGGTTAATTTCTAATGCCTAGCAAACAAGTTTGATTCAGAATACTTTCAATAAAACTATTTAACTGAAGTGCTATTTCCCCAGCTGCTTGAGAGCCATACGAGTGCTTCAGAAGAATGGACATGTGCCCAGCGATCCCGCTCTTTTTAAATCTTACGCAGAATATGGCCACTTCGTGGACATTAGGATAGCAGCTTTGGAAGCAGTTGTCGACTATACTAAAGGTAACACTTGAGAAGTATATGTTTACATAATTCTTGAAAGAAATGTTTACTATTGAAAGCCAGTCTTAGTTATTGGGGTTTTCTTATTATGTACAGTAGAGATATTTTAATTTTAAAATCTTGACTCACTGATTTTTGTTTAACGTAGAATTCTTAGAAGAATTAATAAGTGAGGGAAAAGAATAAAATTAGTGAATAGATATCTTTGATCTGTCTTAAGGAGTCAGTATGTCATTCTTACAGCTCTAATAACTGTGTGTTACTTTAAGACATAGAAGACAGTTTTTTGTGAAGTTTCTAACTACGTAGGAGGGATTCAAGAAGTCGTCTTGCTCCTGTCACAGATCTGCGTCTGTGACGGGAGAGCAAGAGACATGAACAGGAGCTCCAGCAGGGCAGTTAGCTAGGGCTTTACAAAGTTGAGAAAAAGTGAAAAAGTAAATCAAGAGAAAACTTCCTAGGCAAAAACATTTTCAGAAATACAGAGGAGAAATATAAAGAGATGAAAATGTAAAAAAAAAAAAAAAAAGCAGAAAGAAGTCATGGAGAATGGAGCTGGCGGAAGAAAAGCAATAATCCAACAAGTGATAGAATACTTGGATAAGGTCTAAATGAAACTGACCTAAGGTAGAGTCGGATGAAATTTAAAATTTTAAAGTTAAAGGAATAAAAATAGTTTAAGTTCCCAGTTATTACACAAGATAAGAGAATAACGCAGCCCGTGACTTCTGCAGCATATGAGGCGTTCAGAAGAGTTCAAAAGGGAACAAATAGCGAACATCATAGTGTCTAGGGGCAATTATGATGTAAGATACCCCACTTTGCCAAGTTGTTTTGTTGCTCACGTAGCCTTGAAGGCTAGAAGTACATCTGTGTAACATTTTAAATAATAAAGTTCCCAAAGGTAATTTTCATCTGGTCTGGAAATGAATCAAAATAATGCTAAAGATCAAAGTGTGAAATGCAGAACATAGTGATCAGCAACTGTGCCTGTAAAATAAAGAGCTAAGCTTAAATATTTGTTCATGTGGTTGTAAAATTTAATGCAGATTTCAGAAATAATTCCTAAAAAGGTGAAGGGGTCTAGCAAAGAAAAACACCTCGTGGACACAGACAGCAGTGTGGTGATCGGAGGGGTGGGAGTGGGGGGGTGGAGGAGAGTAAAGGGGATAAATGGTGATGGATGGAGACTCGACTTGGGGTGGTGAACACAATATAGTGTACAGGTGATGTGTTATAGAATTATACACCTGAAACCTGTATAATTTCATTAAGCATTGTCTCTCCAATAAATTCTGTTAAAACCTCTGGGCGGAAAAGTAATGTGCAAATGTAAGAAATACGTAAGTTAACCTACATCTAAAATTCCAGACCATAGCACTAAAATATGAGGACAGTAAAGAAGTTCAAGTATCCTGAATGTCTCATCTGACTGTGAAAAGAAGGGAGGGGGCGGGGAGTTCTTCAGTAGCTATCGGTTAATTTTTACATGTTAAACAGGGGAAAATATGCTCAAAATTTTATAACCTTTTGTAAACAGAAATACTTACTTGTAGTCAGGACTTACAAAAGGCTAATATTAGTATAGTGTGTATAATACATCGGTCTAAACTCAAAAAGGACATTTGTTCTTTTTATGGAGGGTTAAAGTATACTTTTAAGAAATTATAGTGAGAATAGGGATTTTTATAAAAATTAATTTCTTGGCAGAAAAAAAATGTGTAATCCTTTATCAGACTTCAGTATTTTTTGAGGATTTTATGGGTTCATGAAATTTAAAAGTTTTGCAGCACACTAAATACATCAGGATTCCCAGCCTTCTTTCCCAAGGTATATAGTGTTCACCGTCACATAATTATGAAGGTTTCATGAATTAGTACTATCTGAGGTGAAATAGAATGCTAATGTTATGATTTCAGAAAAACCCTAAAGAAGTGTAATTTCATTGAGAGGTGTTTAAGTGTGATCCATGAATTTTAGATAATTTGAAAATGAAAAAATATAAAATTTTAGAAATAAAATTCTGAAAATAAAGCTTTTTAGGTCACAGCAGTAAAATTTGGTGAGAAGGTGAATAGAAATAGCTAATGAGTCATTTTATTGGTCAGGTAAAGGACTATTTTATTTTTGTAATTGCTTTTTATATTATGTGGAAAAGTTAAGGCTGTTTTTTGGCCTTAAATGAAAGAAATGGGTCAGACAAAAACAGTTTACCTACAGTTGAGGGGTCATGGAGTAGCAGACATCTCTATAATTTAAGCATCTAGAAACAACAACTTTATTTATACACTTTTGTCTATTTTGAGTTAATCATCTCTAATTTAGGGCTCAATAAATTATAATTAGCTTTATGTTGTATTTGCCATTGATTTGAGCGGCAGTGAAAAATATACACTTGGTTTTGTTTTATGTTTTGGCTACATATGGCATAATGCTTATAAAATTTACAAGGTGGCCTATTATGTTAAAAAAAAAATGTAAGGACGTTGTCCACAGCCTTCAACTCTGGAAATCCAGCTAAGGCAGGGTCCTCAATATTAAGTGTAAACTCCTTGCCTGTCACTTGTTAATTTGTTATAATTGCAACAATATATTTCTTCATTTTTATTTTCAGTGGACAGGAGTTATGAAGAACTGCAATGGCTACTTAATATGATTCAGGATGACCCTGTACCCTATGTAAGGTTAGTTTTTGTGCTACAGTTTGTTCGTAAGTCCTAAAGTAAATTGAATAATTTCAGAAGATTATACATGGAACAAAGCCTTTGTTATTTTTGAAAGCATAGGAATATGTTATGCACTTGTTGTGCCCTTTTTTGACTTTTTATTTTGATTTGCCTTTGAAAAGACATTTAAAAATATATTATTAATAAATAAAATTTATTTCCGGTAATTTTACATATGATCTCTATTGTAACAAAAGAAAGCTTATGTAATAGTTTGTAATGCACCTTGAGGATCCCTTAGTTATCAAAAATTATAAACCTCTACTGATGGATTTAATTTATTTTAAAAGTGATTAAGAACAATGTTTTGGTATATTCCATTTGTTTCTATCTCATATAAAATCTTGATTCTTCTTAAATAGACTTGGGGTTATTTTCATTTTCTGTATGCCCTTTTAGTTCTTTATTTATTTTTTTCCCAGAGAGAGGGAAAGGGAGGAAAGAAGAGAGGGACAGAAACATCAGTCAGTTGCCCTTTATATGCCCCTAACTGGGGCCCTGGCCCACAACCCAGGCATGTACCCTGACTGGGATTTGAACCGGCGACCCTTCAGTTCTCAGGCTGGTGCTCAAACCACTGAGCCACACCAGTCAGGGCCCTTCTAGTCTTTTCTGCTGCTTTCTTTTGCAAAATAGAGTGTTTATGGTGTATTCAAATAGGATTAACTTTTTGACCATTTTGGCTTTCTTTTCACATAGTAGGCACGTAAATTTTTGTTCACTTTAATATGATTTTATAAAATAAAATTTCAAAGCTGGAAAGTAACTTAGGTTATAGTCATTCCAACTAGAAACGAGAACACAGAGCTAGATATTAATTGTCTTGCTCACCTTTACGCATCAGTTGGTAGGTAATTGTTTTCTTCTAAAAAGTCACAAATAAACTGCCTTCTGACCTCACTGAAATGCATCTGAGCCTGAATCCACATAACATTTTAGCTCTAAGGGAGATTTGGGTATAGCAGTGAGGTTTTGGTTAAGTCACCTTCTATTTCAGTGTTTTAACTGATGCTTATTACATAAATATCCTTTATACAAAGTTATGCTGTTAATATCTCATCGTTCTCCATTTGTGATCTGAATTATATTTTAAATGGTTCGTCATTGTGGTTGATACACAGTAAGGGTCAGGTTGACATGGATAGTAATCTCATAGTCATCCATTCCAAAGTACGTATTTAAATAGAAGACAGTAGGCAGAACGCCTGTCCAGATCTGTTATTGGTGGATGGAGTTCGTGCGTTTGAAAACTGCTGGTCGGATCTGACTGGGAGCGGGTGGGAACAGAAGGTGTAAACCCAGTGTCAGTGAAGCTAACCACACGCTCACCTGTCTTCAGTGCACATCTGCAGCACTGACGTTAAGATGCGTATTTCTGAGCTCTTGGGATTGTGCTTTGAAGATAGTTTTTAGCAGATTATAAGATTATGCAATATTTAAAATTTTTGTATTCCTGAATGATAGACTGTACGATATAAATAATTGCTTTTGAAATATTGTGGAACTGTTAGTATCATTCAGATTTTAAGAGCGCTGTTATTTATAATGTGAGGGGAAAATCTGTTTAAAGATACATTTCATGATTATTTTTGATGTTTTCTTCTTAATTGGTGTGGCTCACTTCTAGCAGCAGTAGGGAATCTTTTAGGCTTTCTTTAAAATCATCTAACCCGGAGATTTTCAACAAGAATTTGTAAACAAATATGCAATACCTGACCATTTAGTCAGTGGTGCTGGCCTCGTTTCCCTTAGATTGTCAAGTAAAAAATGACAGTGTCCAGCGCAACAATAACCATCCAATGTGAATGAGTCAAAATTATGCCTATTTTTTTCTCAAAGTGGCAAAAAATAAATGGTTTGGTGTGCTGCAGAATTTTAGTAATTAGTTTATATATACATACCATGAAATGAAAAGGGTTGAAAATCGCTGATCTAGCCCATGGTTATATTCATAGTTTAAAAAATGCAGCAGTTCTTAAAAAATCTTGAATGGCATTGAAGTGTTAACACAGCAGTTAGTTTATGTGTATGTTTTTTGGTGTCTTGGGACATCTGTCTCTCTTTATATTTCTGTGTTTTATACTTTGAGTAGGAACTCTGTTCTTTTCTCTTTGTCCCATCGTTCTTTTCTTTTTTTTTTTTTTTGAGGTGTGATTGACATATGACATTATACATATTAGTTATATAGCCTTAGATTGGGTAGGTAATTTTCAAGATGACATGGAATTACCTTCTCATTTTGGAATCAAGCATGCAGATGATGTTCAGGGGACACACTTAACAGCCAGTGCTTTTTCTCCTGGGAGTTTTTGAACATTTTTTTGGCTTTGGTTTGGCTCCATTTCCTAAAGATAGTGATTGGCAATGGTATTGGACTAGCCCACAAAGAAAATTCTGACTTGTCTAGGGAAATTTGATGTTTTTGCTGTTGTCAATATGACATAAACCCATGGCTTTCTTAGGGTTTGCTTCAGGCTTGTTCCAGATGGCTGCAACATACACGTACTGAGAGCTTGTACTGAAAAATTAAGCATGAGATTCTCATCGTCTCCTTTCAACTTTATCTGCTCTAAGTATTGGTCTGAGTATTTGGTCACTTATAAATATTTTATTGTAAGAGTCTTCTGCCACCTAAACTTTAAAGAAAAACAGACCTTTTGAAGAAATATTTAATTGCTAAAAGTGATATATGTGTTAATCACTACTGATCTTTTAGGGATAATTTAAGACATCCCCAGAGCACGCTTCACAATTAGTGGGCGTGGCCGTAAAGAGTTTGCAGTGATCCGAGTGAATACCGTGAAGTCGTATTTGCTCCCACAGCCTGTCAGTCGTCTTTCATACGCTCTTAAAATTTCCAAGCACAAAAGGATGTCGACAGCGACGGTCCACATCTTTCCGTTTTATGGACTCAAAACTGAAGCCAAAAGGGATTAAGTGACTTAACTGCAACCTAGCAGCCCCCTTTTCTCCCGTCTCTGTCTCGGGTACTCATTTCATAGGATATTTTTCCACCGACAATTACATACAAAAAATTCCCGGGTTCACCTTTTTTAAAGTTTTGCTAGCACCATTAAAAATTACAACGGAAGTTTCTGTCTTCCTCCATCATATCCAAGCGTTCCATTACTCCGAGGTTGGAATGTTGCAGCCCTCGTCCTTGGTCTGGCTTGTATTCCGCCACCAAGCGCTAAGTTCCTGTCCCAGCTCCTTGCTGCTTCTCTTTCTCTACCCTCTTCTTCTTACGGTGTCTCCTCACAGCATGGGACATTTTCTTCTTCATATTTCATTTTGCTCACATTGCCCTATTTTTCGGAAGATTCTATAGTGTGTTCAAGTAGCCTCCCGCATAAGGTAAAAACTCCCCCTAGCGCAGTGTAACTGTTGCCATCTGTAAGGATACTTTCTTATGAATCGCCTCTTCTGAAGGTCAGCTTATTTTGAGGAAACCTTTTCGCCGTCTCTGTGTTTCAAATGCCCTGTGCTCTTCATTTCTGTGCCCTACAAAGGTGCTGTGATAGTGAAGCTTACGTTCATTTTCTTGTCTCAAATGTAGGCTTCTTCTTGCTCCATTTTTCGCCCCATTTTAAGATTTTTATGTTTACTGATCAGTCTTTTTGGTAAACTTTTATAACGGTAACATGTTCATTTTAAAGGTGGGGTGGAAAGGCCGGTTAAGAATACAGAGTTGGGTTTTAGAAGACCCCATTGTGCACTAAAAGCAGTTTTAGAAAGAACAAGCCCACCCAAATTGTTTAGTGAAAAAGACAGTAGTAAATCTTTAGACTGTAACATCAACTTTTTGACATGCAACTAAATCTAAATACAAAGCCAGATCTGAGAAGGGAGATGATAAGTTAGGAAGAAGGAACTACAGGTACAGGTAACTTTTAATGTTTTTATTTAATGGTCAGCAAACATTTAACTTTTCTTTTTCAGACATAAGATTCTAAACATGTTGACCAAGAACCCACCATTTACTAAGAACATGGAGTCTCCCTTGTGCACCGAAGCCCTGGTGGATCAGCTTTGGAAGCTCATGAATTCTGGTGAGACGGCAGCGGCTTTCCAAAAAATTTTTATGGTTGGATTATTTTCGTTTTACAACAGGTGTTCCATATTTAAGAGCCATGGTTTCTTTTTTGTCTTTTTTTCCTAACATACTTATTACACCTTTCTTCACATCTGTTATTACATCTTTCATTAGGAAGTGATATAAATCATTTCCTAAGGATATATTTATTATACCGTTTAGGTATTCATTTTGTAAAGCAGAATGGTGTGGTGATAAAACATTTCCCCAGTTCTAAATTCACTAGTTCATTCACTAACATTTATTGGTCCCGGAGCAGTTTATAAGCATCTGTGCTAAGAGAAGATGTATCTTTAGGGCAGAGGGTTTGTCAGTGAGGCTTGTATATCAGGAGATGGCTCCCTTTAAGCATCATAATCCTTTCATCTCTTCCTTCTGTACAAGTTCTGGAACAGCTAAACATGTGTGGCTAGATGTGCATATTGAGTTGTATTCCCTTACTTTTTCCTTCTTAGGCACTTCGCATGACTGGAGGCTGCGGTGTGGTGCCGTGGACTTGTACTTCACACTGTTTGGCCTCAGCAGACCTTCCTGCTTGCCCTTGCCCGAGCTGGGGTTGGTTCTCAATCTAAAAGAGAAAAAAGCCGTCTTGAATCCAACCATAATTCCGGAGGCCATCGCAGGCAACCCGGAGGCTGCAGTTAATCCAAGTAGCCACGCACAGCTGGTTGGATTTCAGAACCCTGTAAGAGTCCCATGTGTTAGAGAAGATGTGGTTTTGTTGTACAGAGCTATCTAGAGAAGAGAATTGCTTCTTTTGAACTGACAGATTTTAAAGCCACTAACAGTTTGTCTTGTACCTTTTAAAAATCTGCTGGCTGACATGGTTTACAGCGGGTGCTGACAGCCGCATAGGGCTGCCAGTCCATTTGCCCCTCTTGTGATGATGTAACGATCGTTTGTCCTTGAGCATAGAATGTCTTCTTTGAGCAGTAGAACACTGGAATGAATAACCTGTCCCATGTTACCCTTCGTGTCCACGTGGGGTCATGGCAGACTGCGTGAACACAGGGGCCCTGATTCCCCCCCGCTCTGTGTCATCTCTGGCACAGTTCTGAACGGGCCAGGTGCCTGACAGGGGCTTCCTGAAGTAGAGCAATAGAAAACGAATGATCGGGTAAATGAGTAATCTGACTTGGGAGGAGATTATGCATTACATTTCAAATTTGTGTGTGTGTTTGCTATTTCTAACTATGCATTATAAAGTTACCCGACATTTTGTGGAAAGACCTTTAGGATACATATCCATCAGTTTCTTGTAATTTAAAGAACATTTTTTAGAAATGTTTTTTTTTTTAATCGATGATAAAATGTCCCCAATATGTCAAGCTTCATTTTTCACCAATATTTAGACCAGGTTTCTTGCCTGGCAATTCCCTACTGGTGTTTTGACACTTTAAAACTCAGATTATCTCTATTCTAGTTAGAAATAGTCATTTAAAACTACTCACCTAGATTTTCTGAAATATGATTGAACTTACTTGTTGTAAATTTAAAATGTATCCTAGAGTTTGGGTTATAAAGATGTAACATAAATCTTTCCATAGGGAAAAAAAAGTGTCCCATTAAAGAGCTCTTATGGATAGATCTGAATAGTTATAAATCTGTGGAAATAAGTATGTTTATAAGTCTTGCCCATATATGTTAATTTATCTACATTCATACTGGGAGTCTTCGGGAGAAAATGCACCAAAAGATACATTCTTTTGGGAAAACTCTGAAAGTTCACTTAAACAACTCTTCTCCCCTACCTCTCAAGAAAAAAAAAAAAAGACAAGAAAAGGTGGAACTTATGTTCAGCCCATTGCTGACAACTCTCAGGCAGTGGGTCTGCTCTAACCTGCATGGTTGCTCTAGCTCTTAGTTTTCAGCTATAACACGAGCTATGTGTCTTCAGAAGTCTAATTTTGATCTTAAATATTGCCGCAGGAAGATGATCACCTTGCCAAGGAAGCATCATGTAATGTATCAGCTCACCAGCAGGGAGTGAAGAGGAAGGCTGATACACCACTGGGGTCCCCACTAGAACCTGGTCAAATACTGGAGAAGAATGAGGATAGCAGTAAAGTCAAACTCAAAATCAGAGTAAGGAATACAGGTTAAGCCTGTATTAACAGTGTAGGATATTCACCTTCTTGTAAATCTTTGTGAATATTTGCAATGGTTTTTCCTTGGTGACAGAGGGGACAGACTGCATCGTAGAAGAACCCAAATGTCCATCTCTAAGACATTCCAACCGGTCCTTTAACTTCTGTTATCACATACTTCTCTGTGTGGGGAGGAACTGCGTGTGCACGATCTACCCCAGCTCCCTGCTCTCCCGTAACATAGGAATAGATTGTAGTTGCTGTTAAATTTCCAGTAATTTTCAGTCAGCTTCTTTCGGAGGCTGGACCACATAATCTTTTCTCTCTCTTAATTTCTTTTTTTGGAAAAAAAGACACTACTTTTCCTTTTAAGATTATTTGGGGGTGTAGCCTATGGCCTCTCTGCTACTTTTCCTGAGAGCTAAGATCCAAACGTAAAGTGATGTAACAGCCCTTTTTCCCTTTTGTTTTTATGTGTCTGTTTCAGTTTTCAAGTTCTCAAGACGAGGAAGAGATTGATATGGACACTGTGCACGATAGCCAGGCCTTCATTTCTCATCATTTAAACATGCTTGAAAGGCCGTCAACTCCAGGTAAGATCAGCGTCCTGCAGTCACGGGGATGATCGAGAAAGTTCACCTATCGCTGTTCTAACAAGTGTTGCTTTTATTTATTTTTACTCCTCCCCTGAAGATAAGTTTATTGATGTTAGAAAGAGAGACAGAGAAAGAAACATCAGTGTGAGAGAGAAGCATTGATCAGTTGCCTCCTGTACACGCCCCAATCAGGGACCAAATCCTAGTTACGTGCCCAGACCAGGGATTGAACCTGCAGCCTTTTGGTGTGCAGGAAGTGCTCCAGCCCACTGACTCACCCAGCTGGGGCTTGGTTTAATTTTAAATGAAAAACTATAAGGTTTGAAAGTAGCTGGTATAAAATAAAATATTAGATTGTTTCAGATTATAACACACGTGAGCAAAGAAATAAAAAATGTTTCTTTTGATTTTCAATTTTATTTTTTAACATTCAGTATATTTATACTTCTGGATTTTTTTTTAATCCATTCTCATATTCCTTCCAATAGCTTTAATTTCTCTCCCCCTCTCTCTCTCTAGTACGTTTAACATAAAAGTTAAAATAAAATATCATATTTAGTTTGTTTTTAATAATGTAACCATAATTATATTTAAAATTCTTTGACTAAAGTTAATGCTGCTCAAAATAACAGCTACTTTCTCTTTTTTTGCCTGCCTATTTCACATAATATCAGATTTTTGCATGTGTCTCTCAAACATAACCTTTGCTTTTGAAAATATTATCTGAGATAGTATTGAGTTGATATACTAAAATTTACCTTATTATTTCCTTGTTGGTAGGCATTTAGGTATTTTTGGTTTTTATTTGTTACAGGTAATTCTGCACTGCATTTCTTCATACAAAAGCTTTTGTTTCTTTCTTATCAAGTTACATTCTTTGGATAAATTCCCCAAAATAAGCCCTGGTTGGCATAGCTCAGTGTATTGAGTGCGGGCTGCGAACCAAAGCATTGCAGGTTCAATTCCCAGTCAGGGCACATGCCTGGGTTGCAGGCCATGGCCCCCAGCAACCACACATTGATGTTTCTCTCTCTCTTTCTCCCTCCCTTCCCTCTCTAAAAATAAATAAATAAAATCTTTTAAAAAATTTCCCCAAAATATATTGTTGGCGAAATGATTAATTTTAGGTATATTAATGAGATACTTCACTTCGGATTGTCTTAGTTCTTGATATATAATGCCATGATGCTTTTTGAAGGGATTACACATAGTTTATATCATCAACATTTTTTAATTTTCAGGAATAAAGCTTAGATATAATTTGCATGTAAGTTGTGAAATATAATTTTTTAAAAATCTGTGACCCTGCCATCCACCGTAACATCTGTGTTTTACTCCATGCCACCACGGTTCCCTCTTTGCATCTTCCCTGTATCTGCTCACTTGCCTTTGCACTACAAGTAAATACTGTCGTGATTTTAGTTTTCTTTTTCTTAATCATTCTGCTGCTTTTTTATTTCTGTTTTTTAAAAAGATTTTATTTATTTATTTTTAGAGAGGAGGAAGGGAGGGAGAAAGAGAAAGAGAGGAACATCAGTGTGTGGTTGCCTCTCCTGCGCCCCCTACTGGGGCCCTGGCCAGCAATCCAGGCATGTGCCCTGACTGGGAATTGAACCAGTGACCCTTTGGTTCTCAGTCCGGCACTGAATCCACTAAGCCACACCAGCCTTTTAATTGTTTGCCATGTAGATGTATATTTGCTCACAGTTTTTGATATTTTGAAAATGGTATGACACTTGATATTACATGGTTTTTTCACTCAACATTATGTTTCTAAAATTAATTTGTAGTGATATATAAGGTGTAATTCATTAATTTTCATTTATTATTATCATTTTTTGTATGTCATAGTTTTATTGTCATAAATGTGATAACCTAAAGGGTTAATTAACTATAAAATAATTTATGTTTATTTTATAATACATTTTTAAAATTATGACTTTTTTTTCTGGGTACTGTTTCTGATTCTTTTTATTGGAAAATCCTATTCATACCCCATGCTGGTTGTCTTGTATAATATTTACATTTGAATGAGTTTTTTTCTAACATGTTACCTTCTGGAAAAGGTCCTGTTATCCACCTTGGTCTTCTTCCCGTTTGTTTGGTTTTCTGTTTAGTTTTGGTTATGAGACTTAGACCATTTTTCACTCTCTGGTAACCTAGGGTGAGCTAGTAGAATTTGAGAACTGACATCAGGTAGGATGTGAGCCGGAGATACATTTGAAAACTGACAGGTCATGAGTTTCTTGGCTTTTATAATTGTAAGAGATCTCAACAATTATTTATCTATTCTATCCATTTTACAGGTAAGTAAATGTACCCAGAAAGATAGCAAATGACGTGCCCTAAAGGACACAGCCAGTAATAGCCAACTCAGGGCTAGACCCCAATCTTAAAACTTTTCCATGTGACTAATGAAGGAATTGAGACACAAAGAGAGAAATGTCTCACCTGGTATATGTATCTGATTTGTTGATAATTTGGAATCAGAACCTGGGTCTCCTGATACCTACTACAATGCCGTTCATATTACACCATTCAAACATTTCCTATTTTAAATACCTTCTGTAACCCCTAAATTATTTTATCTATATATTGAGTAAATATTATAATGGGATTTATTAGCAAATTGGGTGGGGGCATAGCGAACAATCTTTACTATGTGCCGAGTTCTGTGTAGATAGTAAGAAACAGGACATGGTTTCTGCCCCAGAATATAGAAGCTATTTTATACATTCAGCAGGCCAGTCAGACTTACTACCTTTCTTGAATGTGTATTGTTCTCAGACTTAAATATATAGCAACCCTGACAGAGTCAGGGCAAATGGTATCTTCAGCAGTAAAAACAGCGCTCTTTTTATTATTTGAATTTTACTGTTGAACTGCTTCTGGTTTAGAGGTTAGCTTATAAAAATCTATCAGGCTTTTTTTTTTTTTTTTTCCTTTTGGGAAACAAAGAAATGCATTCATCTTCTCCTTCTCTGGTGTTTTAGGGCTCTCTAAATACCGGCCAGCATGCGCTCGGCCCGTGTTGATGCCCCAGCACTCCCCAGCCGGGGAATGCCCGCCCGCCGCCAAACCCCAGTGGGGCATGGAGCTCGCTCGGAAGGGAGCAGGTGAGGCTGTGGTTGTTGTTACTTTTCTGCTCAATAGCAAATCTATAAACTTCACAAAATTTCTTTTCCTTTTTTTTTACATTCAATGTTATATTCATTTCAGGTGTACAAAAAATGTATTAACTTAAAAATACATTAAAAATATAGATCTGAGGACTTGTTTTTCTTGGAACACATTGGCTTTCAAGTATCTAACATAAGGACTATTTTAAATTAGACTTTTTTTACTGATTCAAAAGTAATACATTCCTACTTTGTAAAACTTGGAAATAACAAAGTAGAAAGGAAGGGGAAAAATCATTTCATGTCATTTAAAGATCCCCATGATGTTACATTTCGCTCTTCCCTTGTAGTGCTGTTCCTGAGAATATTAAATATGAAAGTGTCAGCTTCTGTAGGAATCGTTAAATCTGTCCCTTTGTCCTTTAATAAAATACAAATATCAGCCACTTACTTATTCCTCCTCTCTCCTTTCCCCTGAACATTTTGCAGTCAGATCAATCATGACAAGTCATGCTGTACCTAGAAAACTAACATGTTTTGACTTTTAAATTATTTCACATTAATCAGGCTTGTTTATGAAGGTGATTCAGTTGAGATCCGTTTATTACCTATTCTACTATTTTACATTGTCTTCTGCTTACCAGATTCTTCTCTTGTTTGAAAAGAGATTATAATCCAAATAAAGAGGGAACAGTTGATGTGGATGAAAAGATCCAGTCTTCAAGTTTTGGAGGAACAGGGAGTGAAAAACAAGATACATAAGCAAAATCACTTTTAATGAATAGCTTTTCCAAAAGTCATTAATCTGGCTTTAAAATTTCAGTGGATGGGTTTTGCGTGTATAAACCATGTTTTTATGATATAAACAGAAGAGTAACTGTTTGTTGATTTGAGGAGCTTGGGGAACCAACTGTGATTAGGAGGAGACTTCAAACAAAAGCAACATCTCAGACTATTTTGGTATCGTGACCCCAGACTGCTGGGTGCTTACATCTCTTGGTGTGCTTTGTGCGTCTGTTGTGGGAGGTTCACGAGATGGGTTTCAGAAGGAAGTCAGCTGGAGACTTGAGCACTTACTTTGACAAGTGGATTTTGACACTTTTTTTTTAACCATTGCTGATTTTGTAGTCTCTTGGGTATTGAGGGGTTTCTTTCGTTTGTTTTGTTTTGGTGTAATTTTGCTTTATTGTCATTATACTTACTAAAATTTCACTAGATGTGAACAGTTTTTTACATTTTTAAAAATTATAAAACTTAGGGTGTTTCACACCTCTTGATACAGCGTGAGAATGATATTCTGCTTGCCGTTTATGCCTTTAAAAGTCATAAAGACTGACTGAATTTCAACAGTCAAATAAATAAATTCCTGTTCCAGAAAATCATCTCAACACTTGTGTTTGGTTTATCTCGGTGATAGGGCACACTAACCCATGTAGAAGTGCACCGTAACACCTTTCCGTGCCAATCATGTGCCTTTGTATTGTGCCGTAGTTCTTTAAAAATACATTTCTTACTTTTTGGGGAATCTCTCTTTACAGTCTTACCGTTCTCCTGGCATCATACGGGAAGGCTGGGGAGGAGAGAGAGGGCAGGTGGTGGGAATAGGAAAGCCTGACAATTTAACCTGGGTTGCTATCAGTGTAGCACCCTTTTATGTCATGAGATAAAATGTATACCAGCATATTATTTATAGACTCATCTATAAAACTTACATTCTGAGTATATTCTTTAATGTGCTTTTATAATTTCTTTAAACTTGTTTATGCTGTTCAGTACCCAAAGCTACTGAGCAAGTCTTTAAATTCGACAGTGTTATTATCAGAATTTAGAAAACCTTCATTTTACAAGTGATAGTGTTCCAAAGGTTTGTGTCTGCATGTATTTGGGGATCTAAATACCATGGTCCTGCAGACACATTATTTATATTTGATAGATAGCCTTCCCAAACCAGCCAGCAAAAACCCTTTGACTTACACCTGAAGAAGAGAAGAAGGAAACCCAGCCACTGTGTGTGGCGATGTTTCTGAGAGAAGGGGCACCTTCGGCTCTGCCTTTCTGATGGCAGGCACAGCTGTAACCTAACCCGAGTGAAGCTGGCAGTGAAAGAGGAACTTCCTCTCTTCCTGCCCCCCGAGGGAGAGAGGGTCTTCCTGGCCTGGGGCTGAGGGCTGTGGGCTCACGGAAGGAGCATAGAAAGAATTGTTGTAAGGCTAGCTGTGATTCATCTTCAGCCTCTAGGGATCCTAGATTAAAGTTCACAAATGGGGCTTTTTTTTTTTTGGCCTTACTCAGTTCACTTAACTGAGGCATCTTTATTTGGTCTTTAGAAGTCTTATAACATTTTTCGTACTTGGCTAGAAATGAGTTTCCAGCTTCTCTTGAAAAAGAGTTAACAGAGAGGCGCTTCCAGATAGGGATGTGCTATTTCATCGATGCCACTTGCTTGCACCTGCTCGTTGCGTGCTCACCTACGTTGTCTCCTTCCATCCGAGGCTGTGAGTGTGGGGCTCTGTTTCCTTTGTTCATGAGCTAAGGTGAAGTCCGAGGTGGGTCCTTCAGAGCCAGCAGGCCGCATGGACTCTGAGCACTGGGGCGAGCTGCAGGTGGCACTGGGAGGGGTAGAACAGGCACAAGGGTTTAGGTCAGATAAAGAAGAGCTGGAATCTGTTCAGAGGAAAGTCATGGTTCGCTTTCTTCCAATTTTCTCTTTCCTTGCACATGATAGGAGAATATTTTAGGGTGCAGATGATAACATGTGTGGAAGGTGAAGCCAGCTGGGGTAAGAAAGAAGTGGCAGAAGTAGTTTTCTTAAGTACTTTATGCTGTTTCTTTCCCTTCTCCTGAGGTAAGGAAGGGGATTTGGAGAAAGGGCTTATGGTTCCCATGGGGATCGGTTAAGCCTACCATGTCTGTCTGCTCTCCCTCCGCTGCAGCCTGGTCTCTCGCCCCAGCTGTTGCTGTGAATGGAGCAGGGAGCAGGAGTGACTGGGAGCAGAGGCCGAGGGGAATGGAATCCCTGGTGGTTTCCGTGGGGAAGAGAAGGAGACTTCCTGCAGCTGCCTGCTGGGGCTGCTGCATCTGCAGTGCCTTCTTGCACAAGTCAGCAAGGCAGGGCTCTGATGCGCGGAAGTCTTTAAAACAAAAACCGAAAAGCCTGTGAGCCCTACAGTTCTTTCTTTTGAAACTCTAATATGGAAAACAGACTTTTTTTTTTGCCTTAAATTTTAATGACATAATTCTACATTTTATCATTCATAGTGATCTAAATAACCCAAAGAACAAACTTTACCATTCTTCTAATAGAAACTGCAGGTTTTGAGTTAAATTTAAACTCACACCTAATGGGAATGAATTTAATAGGACTAACAGGGTATTCACTATCTGATATCAGCACTTTTTCATCCATGGACTGAAAAACTTCCATATTAGGCTTTCTATTTATTTTGTTTGTTTTGCATTTGTTAAAGTGACTGCGGCAAACTCTTATCCATAGTGCATTTTATTAGGTCTCTAGGAAAGATTCTGTGTTGGGTAGAACAACAAAACTGAACGTGTGTTTTATTCTTTCTATGTAACATGAAGTAGAAAAATTATAATGTAAAATATGTGTGCGTATGTACACCTCTATCCTTTTTCTGATATATCTGCTATCCTACAATAGAGACATATATTTCCAGGTCACTGAAAGGGCTCTAATTAACTTAAAAATGTGCAAGTTCCCAGGCTTCTTACAAGCCCCTACAATAATATGTGAAATTATGTGTGTAAATGTGTCGGGGATGGTAACGTGCACTTCCCCCCACCGGAGGTGACCTCCTTATGCTGGTGTGGAAGTAAACTTGTTCCTGTCCCCAGTCTGACTGTTAACGCACACAATTCCACATGGGAACGAGATTGCACTTTCTTATCACCTTGGAGTAGACCTACTAAGAGTTAGTCAGGAAAGACAGAGATTATGCAAGCAAAATATATACTGTCTCTAATAAATGAAAACTTAAGAGCTAAAGGTTAAAAAAGAGCTAAAGGTAGGTGGTAGTGACAGTAACTTCGGGTTTTGTCAGATGTACTGTTGTTACAAATACTAGTCTAATGAATGTTAGAACATGTCTTTGTGCAGTTGTGGGATAAATTTCTGGAAATGAACTTTTTCAATCAAAGAATGTGGGCATTTAACATTTTCATGGATACAGCTGTATTGCTTTAACTTCTCCTTTTAAAAAATGCTTTGCTATGGAAAACTGGAGTAGTCAGATGAGTATAGTGAACCCCTAATCTATACCCTTACCCATTTCCACCCTTCTGAATTACTTTAAAACAAATTCCACGTCATCATTTTAAATAATTTAGTATGCAGGGAGGAGGTGGGGTAGAGGTGGGAGAGGGTATAAGGGGGATAAATGGTAACGGGGAAAAAGTACAATAAAAAATAAATTATTTTAAAAAAGAAAAAATAATTTAGTATGTACCTCTAAAAGATAAGGACTTCAAAAAGTCATAACCACGGTGATACACTTTTAAAAAATTGAGGTTTTTTTGTATCATTAAATTAGTCACTGTTTAAATTTTAATCGACTCATAAATGCCATTATTTTTATTTTTAACATTTGTTTGAATCAGTGTTCACATAAGGTCTATGTGTTGCAATTGGCTGATGCATCCTTTACATCTTTTTAAATTTAAAATTTTCAGTTGATCTCTTTATCTCTTTTTCCCCTTTACAATGTACTTGTTAAAGAAACCAGGTTTTTCATCCATGGTTGTCTTTATCTTGCTAATTGTGTACCTCTGGTGTAACTAACGTGTTAGAGCCCTCTGTATTTTCTGTAAATTTGTAGTAGTTCTAGGAGCTTCCCAGGTTTATCCGTAGTGGTGTGTTCTTCAGTCTGGAAGCATACGATGTCTGGTTGACTTTTTTACAAGGTTCGTCATTAAGGTGTTCAAGGCTTAGATTCGTTAACTTGGAGGGTTGTAAGATGGTAATATTCTAATTTATCTTTCCTTTTTTTATAAACTGGGTTATTTTTATGAAGCTCAATTCCCCTTCATCTGTTATTTTCCAGTGGTATGGGTCATATAGGAAAAAGAGAAAGGCTTGACTCTATTGATGTGATAATTTCCAAAATAATGAATTGGTTAATGAGCATCCACTAGTATGGTCCATCACAGTTATTATCCTTATCAGCATTCACACTGTCCCACCTTTGCACAGTGAGAACCTCCTGACTCTTGAGTCCATTGAGAAGACTTGAACTTCCTTGCAGTTATACCAGGTTGTTCAGACTCATCTTGTAAATTATCTACCCAGACCTGCAATCAGCCATTTGTTCTTAGGAGCCCGAACACTTTCATCCTTGGATTTAGCTAATCCATTGACCTCATAATAAGACTTAATACAAATCAAGAGAAATTTAAGATACATAGTCAAGTAACATATTTCTGATGCAAAGTATAAGGCCACTGGATGAGAACTTTGTGCTGTTGAAGCGGTTCTCAGTCGACCTTGGAAAAGAGCACACCCGTGTCCACCCAGTTGTCCACTTGGCAGTGGCCTCTGCTGGAAAGTGCCTTTTCCAACATCACCGTTGGCTTCTTTGCAGTCCAGGTAGCTTGGCAAGTGTTCAGGATCATACATAGTTAGGTGCTGCATGTTTTAAAAATTCTTGTGGCATGATGTTGAAGACCACTGATATAGTGGCGTGTTTCATTGATACTATAAATCAGGTATCTCTCAAAGTTTTTCTTAATCTGAAGAGTATCTGGGTTCTAATTGCAAAAGATACAGACCCCCAAACTTGCTTCTATATATAAATAATCTTTAGCTTTTTTTTTGGTTTGTTTGTTGTTGTTTTAAGTATATTTTATTGATTATGGTATTACAGTTGTCCTATTTTTTTTAAAGATTTTATTTATTTATTTTTAGAGAGGGAAGGGAGGGAGATAGAGAGAGAGAGAAACATCGATGTGTGGTTGCTGGGGCTGTGGCCTGCAACCCAGGCATGTACCCTGACTGGGAATCGAACCTGCGACACTTTGGTTCGCAGCCTGTGCTCAATCCAGTGAGCTACGTCAGCCAGGGATCAGAAAGTATCTTAAGAGACTCTGGAAGTTGGGTTTTTTGTTGAGCTGTCGTTGTCAGTCAGTGTGACACAGGCTGCGTGCGTAAGTGGTTCTCCAGGAGCCACAGACACAGTGCTGCCCTTCCCCCGCCCCAGGACCTTCGGGCACAGCTGCAGTGGAAGGAGCCGAGCTCCCCTCGACCGGGGTGGGTCTTACCCTGTAACATGCATGTAATTGTTGCTGTCTCTGTGCAGTACCTTCAAATAGGCAATGTGAGTTTTTAGAAAACAGTTTGGTAACACACTGCTGTGTGTCATAACTTGTACAGATGGCAGGAATTGAAGTATTCCACTCCCCTGGGCCCCGATGCTGGGAACCTGTTTGTGTGTGCTTGTTTGGGTGCTGCTTCTCCCGTTCCTGTTTATTCCCGTGGAGGCAGCAAACACTCTGGATCCCCCCTTCCGGTGCTGTCATCAGCTCCCTCTGACTTCTGTTGCACTACCTTTGTCGTCACGGGCATTCACTCAGTGTTCTCCGTCTCGCAGGTAAAGAACAGACGCCTTTGGAGATGAGCATGCACCCGGTCGCAGCGGCCCCGCTCGCAGTGTTCGCGAAGGAGCCGGCCTCCTCCAAGCACAGCGACCACCATCACCACCACCACCACGAGCACAAGAAGAAGAAGAAGAAGCACAAACATAAGCACAAGCACAAGCACAAGCACGAGAGCAAAGAAAAGGACAAGGAGCCTTTCACTTTCTCCAGCCCCGCCAGCGGCAGGTCGGTCCGCTCCCCCTCTCTCTCCGACTGAGTGGGGCACGAGGGGCCTTCCCCTCAGTGTCCGGAAGACGGATACAACCAACGCTGTGGCTTCTGTACAGACTGATATAAGGGGGAAAACCTGCCACCCCTAGAAATTCAGAATCCACTTGACTTCTAAGCCTCTGATCGACATCATATTTATACAATTGGGATGTGATAAGGAGAATGCGTCTGTGTTCTGAATAAACTGTGCCACCCCATTTCCTCTTTAAAGTGTGCACGAGCACACCCCCATTCACCGCCCCCCACCCCACACACACACAGAGTGAACCTCTTTCCTTAAAGACCCTCAGGGCCCGAGGCAGGCCCGCTTGCATTACTGTCAGCGTGTGCACTGCCGAAGCCGGTTATCTTGGGGAGCCTGTGATGGATGTGACCGGTCCGAGTGTGAGACACAAGTGCTGCCCAGCCTTGTGAAGCCCTGTTCCCAGTGACACGTGACACTACTCGGAACTACCGAAGAAGACAGGCGCTTCTCCATCGGGATCTGCTCGGTGGCGTGTTCTTTTAGTGTTGGCCGTAGGATCTGAGCATCAGAATTTATAAACTAGACTACACGATACTTTGTTTTGCCCTAAAATACTGAAATTTTCAGAAGCAGCTTTTTTAAAAAAATTCAGTAACTTTTTTGATAATGCACTTGGCAGTTATGTTGTTGGAATTTCACAGAATTACCAAAACAAGTTCTCAGGTCGAGATGCTTACATTGTGTTACTTGCTCGTTAAGTATCAGTGAGTATGTCCATATGTAGAGTATGTTTGCTAAACGTGAACAATTTACACACCCAACACATTCTAAAGTGATTTCTGTATAACACAAATTATGATACCGTGAAACGGTGTTTCCATACTGTTAGTTAACTTGGACACAGGCAGTTTGGCCCTCCTGTGAACATGTCATAAGCATTTTAAAACATAAGAATGTTTTGGTTTTAAACATCAATAGTTTGTATGTTTGTATGTCTTTTGTTTTATTTCTGAATTTACCATGTGCTTTATTGTTTAAAGGTTTTTCATACGTGTTGTATGTTTATCATTTCCCTTATCATTAGGAAGTTTGGAAGACACTTCTTCCCAGAATAGATATTCCCAAGGGATCCAATAATAGCAGACTTTTAAAATACTTTTATTTGTATTTAACTTGTTTAATAAATACCTTTTTCAATCGGTCATTCTGCCTGTGAGTCCTTTTATGCCTCTTGTTACCTTTCTCTGTGCGTATGTCGTGTGTCTACCCACAAAGTGTGTGGGGAGCGTTGTGGGATGGGGGGTTTGAGCTGCCCTGTTGGGCAGAACGTTCTCAGTAGGCAGAGATGGGTCAGGGTTCCCTTGAAGAAACAGTGTTTTCCAAAGCATGGAAGAAAGCAAGGCCAAGTTCAGGAATTATAAGTCTGCACAGCTGGCCAGGAGTGGAAGAGCAAAGGGCATGCGATCAGATGTTGATGGGTCTACATGGCAGCGATCTAAAGATTCCAATTGGCTGAGTGTTCACTAACTAATATTATGTTTGGACAAATGGGATATTTTGTATTTCAGAGTGTCGTGACACCATACATAGAATTCCCAACTTTGAAAATAGTCATGATATATTTTAAAAAAAATCACTAGTGTTGTAGGACGACAGTGGCAGATAACAGCTACCCGCGGAACTGAAGCACCTCCTATGTATCAAGCATCGTATGAGGAGCTCTGTTATTTCTAAATTACATGTTTATGTTCTATGTTTCTTGTGAGGAACATCTTTTATGGTGAGCTTTCAGTTATTTAAGCTGACGGTTAGAAGACAATTAAAATTATTCCTGTTTTTGAAGCAGGGGACCACACCTCATCGGTACAAAGTTCCAGTGTGAGTCTTCCCAGTCTCATCCGCCAGAGGTGGCCACGGGTGCCCGGGTGACACTCGCCTTTCCAGAAGGAGTCTACACAGTACCTACATTGTTTTTGACAGATGATACTTGGACAAACTTTACTTGTGTCTACTTTGTCCTTTATGACAACCACACTTCGTGTCATACTAACAAAGGCATTCCTCACTGCGTGATTATAAAAATTGTCCCATTTTTTTTCCTGTTAGTGTTAAAGTTTTCATGTCTTTGGTTTTTATGTTTTATTCAACTGGAATTCACCTGGAATTTATTTTGACAGATGGTAGGATGTAGGGATCCAAATTTTTATTTCTTTTCCAGAATGCTACCCAGTATTTCAAACATCTCTTTTCTCTAGATTTCAAGTGTTACGTGTCGAATTTCCTGATGTATTCGGGTCCATTTTGGACTTTGTAGCTGGTTTTCATGGGTCTGTGTACTCCTCTGCCAATACCACACTGTTCAGATTATCATAGCACTGGATGCAGTAGAGCTACCTCCCCTCATTTCTTTTTCAAGTTTTTTGGTTATTCTTGTGGGTTATTTTCTTCCTCTGGTCAACTCCATAATGTACACACAGTAATACTCAATGCTCGTGGTGTGCATTTCTGTGGCTTTGGACAAATGCTTGGACTTGCGTGTCCAGCCACCACAGTTGCATCACTCCGAAGTTCCCTCCCGCTGTATGTCTGCTGTCAACTTCCCCCCTCCCTGCCGCTGGATTCCGCCAATCAATGTATCATCCCTATCTCTTTGCCTTCTTGTGGGTTTATTTTCCCATATTAATACTGGAGTCAGTCTTTCTACCTTCTTGAAATTGTTTTTGTAGTGGGTGTTGATTGTGTAATAAATCGAGGGTTAACATAGAATTGGTGTCTTGATATTATTCCTGCTAAGGATGTCGGTGTTGCTACATTCACATAGTATTTCTTTTTAACTATGATACATCTCCTCAGGCAAGGGAAACAAAAGAAAAAACAAGTGGGACTACATTAAGTTAAAAAGATTTTGGACAGCAAAGAACACCATCAAAAATAGAAAAAAACAACCCACTGAATGGGGGAATGTATTCGCCAACCTACCTGGTAAGGGCTTCACGTCCAAAATTTAAAAAGAACTTACAAAACTCAGCACCAAAACCCCAAATAATCCAATTTTAAAGTAGGCCAAGGAGCTGAATAGACACTTCTCCAAAGAGGACATGCAATATTTTTTATTCATTTCTTGGGTTTTACTTGAAAATAATCACATGGTAATTTTATTACCTCTTGACTAATTTTTTTTAAAGATTTTATATATTTTTAGGGAGGGAGAAAGAGTGAGAGAGAGAAACATCAATGTGCAGTTGCTGGGGGCTGTGGCCTGCAACCCAGGCATGTGCCCTGACCGGGAATTGAACCTGCGACACTTTGGTTTGCAGCCCGTGCTCAGCCACACCAGCCAGGTTGACTAAATTTTGTACATTTAATTTTCTAGTTTCTTCTTCTGTCTGACTTATTTGCCTTGCTGAGTGCACTTGAGACTGAAGGGAAGATGCCACACCCCTTTATTCTCTCTGCATTTGGCCCCCCTTCCTCATGTGTTGTGGGTTTGCATTTCAAATTTGTTAGAATTTGTAGTTTAACAATTTTTGTTTCTTGTGCTCCTTATTTCTTCTGGATGATTCTTAAGGAGAGAATGGAGAAGCTACTTTACTACCAAAGTCCTGTGAACTTAAAAAGACATTTTGATCACAGTTATCATCCTTGTCTGGTAAACAGCTAGAAAACGAGTTTGTCTTCCCATCCCCTTCTCCTAACCTATTGCCTCTGTTCCAACTCTTTACTGTGAACAAGTGAAATTTCTTTCTATCAGCTGTGCTGCAGCCCAAGCAGAACTGTATTTCAAAGCTCTCAACCTCCATCACCAACCCCGCCCCCTGCTGCCTTTGAGTGTGGGCTGGACTTAGTGACTCACTTCCAAAGAATAGAGTATGGACAGGGGACAACAGTGGCTGACAGACGCTACCTTAACCAAGTGATCAGGTTAAACATCACGGTGAGAAGTCATGTTAATATGCTGTCCTCCCTCCTCACTAGACATGATGGAAAGGGCACTTCTGTGGGGGGAAACCCCACAATCCCGGTCTGCCCACTCTACCCCTGAGGAAAAACATCCGACAAACCCAAACTGAGCGATATGCTACAAAATATGCCTTAAAACTAGTAAACTTATGAAAAACAAGGAATGACTGAGAGACTGTCACAGACCAGAAGAGACTGAGGAGATACGGCAACAGCGCAATGCGTTTTCCTGCATTGCATCCAGCAGCAGAAAAAGGACAGTGGTGAAAAAACTAGCGAAATTCAAATGCATGCTAGAGTTTAGTTAATGTACCAACGTTGACTTCTGAGGTCTGGCAAAGGGACTCTAAGAAGGTAACATGTTACCCATAGTGGAAACTGGGTGAAGGACACACTTGCTAAGAAGGAAATTTAGTCATAGAATTGTCATCCTTCTAAGCTATGAGTGTATTTTGATCATTTCTGAAACCTAAATTGTTTTCTACGATAATATAGTCATTAAGACAGAGTCCCCGTCCTCAGACATCCTGCTGCTAAGAACCAGTGCTTTCTCACTTTCTTCTCGTGTCTATGTGATGTCGTGTTCACATGATGTGTCAGGTAGCATCCTTCAGTGTTTTACTATGATGGCTTTTGTTTGGAATATTGGTTAGAAAAACACTGATGTGCATTCACTTAAGTGACATTCTTACTTTGCTTGATGTGGTAGCTGCAAGGGTGCGCGCCAGTGCTTGCAGACTGCTGTGTCGTGTTCTGGACAAAGGAGAACTGCGTGAAGTATGTTATTTCCTTTTCCCACTCTCAGACATCAAGAAGCAGGCTCGTAGAGGGCTTTGCTTTTCCAGCAGAAATATCTAGGTGCCTGTACCAGAGATTCTGTGGAAAATTAAATACTGTAGTATAGAAAGAGAAAGGACTCAGCAAATTGAGTGAGTTAAAAAGTTTGAAGAATTTTATTATTTCTCAAGATACTATTTTACCCTCAAAATGTATCACTTGGGTGTGTGAAGTCCTTCCCATCTGATTATTACAGCCTAGCATCACTGCACATCACTATTGGTACGTAACAGGCTCTGTTTTTATTGAATTGAATATAAAAGCAGAAGGTGATTTTATCAGCCAGAGAGTAAACAATACTGTGGAGAGATCATTGCTCTGGAAGACAGTAAACCTGGGTTTTATGACCCAACCTCACAGGTGTCTAGTGAAGAAATCTCCCAACCTGCCCAGGGCTAGACAAATGAGAAGGCTGGGCAAGGTCGTCTTAAAGCTCTCTTGCTAGATGCCAAACTCCTGTGGTTGCTCTGTTACCACCCCACAGTAGGTGCATAGAGAAGTTTCCACGTTGAGGAAGACAATTTAGGTAATAAAGGCTTTATTTCAGTTATTACATTGTGAATTCAAAAAGAACTTCTACTCAGCCTCAGCCCATCTGTATATGCTCAGAGGCAGAGCATAAGTCATGAATATAGTTAGATATGTGAATAGGAAAAATTTCAATTGACTGTAAAATACTTTTTCTTATCTCTTGGACAGACCCATCTTCTTCCCAAGACCAGCTCACAGTGGTGTTCGCCCGCCGCTGTGCTTGGCCCTCAGCGGTTTTCGGACTGCCCCATCTCAAGCTCACGCTGAGACAGCACGTATTGCCTGATGCAGGCTCAGTGTGAGATTCCCAGGACAGTGAAGGCCCCTGCCTTCAAGATGTCTGGTTTCTGGCAGCAGACGCACAATGAATACATAAGTATCAATAACGAGAACTTGAACCTAGAGTCTATCAGGGCTGTCCAACATTTTGGCATCTCTGGGCCTCACTGGAAGAAGAAGAGTTGTCTTGGACTTCTCCAGGGAGGACATACAGAGGATCCAGAGACACATGAAAAGTTGCTCAGTATCGATAGCTATCAGAGAGATGCAAATTAAAACCACAATGAGATATCACTTCACACCAGTCAGAATGGCCATCATAAACAAAGCAACAAACAACAAGTGTTGGAGAGGTTGTGGTGAAAAGGGATCCCTAATGCACTGTTGGTGGGACTGCAGACTGGTACAACCACTATGGAAAACAGTATGGAATTTTCTCAAAACAAAATGGATCTGCCTTTTGACCCACTAACTCCATTGCTAGGATTATATCCTAAGAACCCTGAAACACCAATCCAAAAGAATGTATGTACCCCAATGTTCATAGCAGCATAATGTACAATAGCCAAGTGTTGGAAGCAACCTAGGTGCCCATTA